AGAGAGACAGAGAGAGAGAGAGAGAGAGAGAGAAAGAGATGAGCATTTGTATTCTAATGAGTCATCCGGCGCCCTTTTGTTGCCTTGGTGCCCTTCCAGCCAGCCGGGCTATATATGCCTGTCCTTCCTATAAAATCGTAATGAATGACCAAAATAGATGACCGAAATCCATATGAACATAGATATATATCCAAGTCATGAGTGCCGTATATTGTCCCTCAGTGTTGCCATAACGCCAAACCCGGTTGTGTTGTGTCCGCAAAGGTTTTCCCCGTTTCCCGTTTACCTCCTATCGCCATCTCGACCGTGGATGGCCACCAGCAGCCACCACCCCCAGCGCCTGCCGGCTCACCACAGCCGACGCTGGTAGTAGACGGGCGACTCGCCCTGCGAGAGCTTCCTGATCTCCTCCTTTATCCGCCTGCGGCGCTCAACCCTGCTCAGCGGCTTCTGCGCCTTGCCGTCGGCCTCGAGCAGCATGGCGGCGTCGGCCTCCTCCTGGCCGTCGGCGGTGTCTGCCGTCTTCTCCTCGTCGGTGCCATCCCCCTCCTCCTCCTCCTCCTCCTCCTCCTGCTGCTGCTGCTGCTGCTGTGTCTGCTCGATCTGGATGACGACGGGCTGCTCGTCCGCCGCCGCCGCCACCGCCTTCTCGGGGTCCTCCCCCCCGGCCAGGGCGGCGCGCCAGTCGGAGCTCTCCTGGTAGAAGATGTGCGGCGACGGCCGCGGGGCCGGCTTGATGGCAGCGCGGAGGTCGCGCAGCGTCCGCTGCTGGATGGCGTAGCCGCTCAGGAAGAGGGCCGTTGTGCATGCGACGACTTTGCGCGTTGGGGCTTGGGTGTTAATTTTGCGGGGGAGTTTTTTTTTTCTCTCTCCTTGCTTTGCCCGCCTGGGTCACTCACCGATGATGGATGAGATGGCCACCGAGGCCTGCGACGATGTGATCATGACCATCTTTGGCACTGGCGCTTGATGTCGCTTATTTGGTATCGTTCCGTCGGTTCCCTTTCCAAAGCGTGCGGGGTCGATGTGTGGGTGCGTGGATTGAGCAAAGAGGGCTGGATGGCTTGTGCCAAGGCGGTGATAAAGTCACTTGAGCGCTACAGTAGCACGCCCCAGATTTGTTTACTTTGGCTACGTCACGTCGCATAGGCGCCTCGTCGGGGCAATTATCGATAATCAGGACCCGCTCCAGCAGTTGTGGAGCGCACAGCACGTGGCACAGGGGTCCTGATCCAATGAATTTGCTTCAATACCGCAATGCCAATCGATCGCCAAAGCTTCGCAACTGCCTTTCACTACACCACTCTCCAACCATCGCCCCCCAGCGAAACCACCCACCACCCACACCCGCAGACATGGGCAGGCCAGCTGTGCACCAGGCGTCGGAGCGCCAGTTCCTCGACGAGCGCGGGTCGTCGTCGCGGCTGGCGCCCAACGGCCTCAACCCGGCGCGGATCATGGAGAAGGCCGTGGTGGACCGCATCGTCGACAGCTACTTCTGGAAGGAGCAGTGCTTCGGGCTCAACGAGGCCGACATTGTCGACCGCGTCGTCGACCACGTCCACTTCGTCGGTGGCATCACGGGCGCCTCGCAGAAGCCGACGCCGTTCCTGTGCCTGGCCTTAAAGCTGCTGCAGCTCGCGCCCGGCGACGACGTGCTGGCCGAGTACCTACACTTTGGCGGCGACAAGTTCAAGTACCTGCGCGCCCTCGCCCTCTTCTACGTCCGCCTGACCCGCACCCCCAAGGATGTCTACGCCACCATCGAGCCCTTCCTCGAGGACTACCGCAAGCTGCGCCGCAAGGGCCGCGCCGGCACGTCGCTGACGTACGTCGACGACTTTGCCGACGACCTCCTCGTCAAGGACCGTGTCTGTGCCACCAGCCTATACAAGCTCACCAAGCGCGACGTCCTGGAGGACCTCGACCTGCTGTCCCCACGCGTCAGCCCCCTGGGTGACCTCGAGGACTTGCTGGAGGAGGAGGAGGAGGAGGAGGAGGAGGAGGAGGGAGAGGGAGGGGAGGAGGAGGAGGTAAAAAGGAGGAGGAAGAAGAGCGAGACACGCTCGATCGCTCATCCCGCGAGCCGGCCGACGTCTCCATGACCAATGGGGACGACCGAGACGACAGTAGAAGCAACCGCAACGACGACAGTCGCGACGCAGCATCATGACGACACAGGAAAGGAGCGTCTGAATACACATATCTTTCCAGCTTTGCCCCAACTCCAACGAACTCGGGTACACTTTCGCGTATCGACGCGGCATGTGCGGCGGCGATGGCACGGACAACAGTGCGCCGTGTCGTAAGTGCCACGGGAGGTCGGTGGAACGAAGAAGCGCCAATGCTGCGTGGCCGAGCAGTTGGCCGCAAGCCGAGGCCATATGGCCATTACACGCCAGCACACCCCGTTCTTGGCCAGGGTAGGCAGGATACCACGGCAAATTGGGAGGAGCACGCTCCCAGGAGTTGTGTGCTGAGATGTGGAATGACAAGCCGGCGGCAAGGGCTGCGTGATGACGAGGGACCACAGATCGTCCGTTTCTGTCGCCAGTTTCTATCCACATATTGTACCTATGCCACAAAAGAAGCGACGGTGGTATTAATGCCCTACAGCTCAGAGAGTTGGCACAGCCAGGGGAAGCAAGATTTTTGTCAATATCGTAATATAAAAATTTCACAAATCACAATGCCTCGCCACCGGCCTCCCGGCTTTCGTCCCGTGCCGCCCTCGGGTCCATGCCCGCCCTGCCTAGCTCCAGCCGCAGCGCCGCCGCCACATGGAGCAGGCGCGCGTCGTCCCAGTATTGTCCCGTGAGCTGCAGGCCGCCGTAGCGAGAAGCGTCCACATCCACGTCCATACTGTCGTCGCCGCCGCCGAGCCTCACGGGGATGCTGACGGCGGGCAGGCCGGCCAGGCTGGCGGGCACGGTGAAGACGTCGTTGACGTACGAGCCGAGCGACGTCTGGCGCGCGGCCTCGTCCAGCGTCGGCGGCGGCGTCGGCGCCGTGGGGCAGAGCAGAAAGTCGACGCGCGCGGGGCCCCGCTTGTCGGCGAGCGGCACGTCCTCGGGCAGGTCCGCGAGGTCCACCACGTCGGCCGCGGCCGTCGCGGCCTCCGGGTCCGAGTCGAACCCGACGCCGCCGCCGTCCCCGCCGTGCTCCAGCAGCGGGTTGCCGAGCCGGAAGGCGCGGTCAAAGTCGGCGCGCACCAGGCGGCGCACGCGCTGGGCCTGGACAAAGTAGTTGTCCATGGCCCCGGAGCTGAGGCTATAGGACCCCAGCAGGATGCGGCGGCGCACCTCGTCGCCGAAGCCGGCCCCGCGCGCGCCAGCGTACAGCACGCCGCCGCCGCCATCGTCGTCGTCAGCAGCAGCAGCAGCCCCACCACCTTGCTGCCCACCCGGACCGCCGGCCCCGTACCGGACGCCGTCGTACTTTGCGAGGTTGGACGACGCCTCGGCTGGGGCGAGCACGTAGTAGGCCGACAGCGCGTGGCGCGTCGAAGGCAGTGATGCGGGCACGACGCGGGCGCCGAGCGCCTGCAGCAGCGACGCCGCGGCGGCCCAGGCGGCGCGGATGCCCGGGTCGAGCTCCTCGATGTTGCACTCGAGCGGCACGCCAAACGTCAGGCAGGACCAGTCGAGGGACCGCTGCTGCTGCTGCTGCTGCTGCTGCTGCTGCTGCCGCAGCGGAGATGCGTCATCGTCGGCGGCGGCGTAGCCCTCCCTCGCGCGGGCGCAGCGCAGGCGGGCCGCGAGCGGGAGCGAGGTCGGGTCGAGCGGGTCGTGGTGGCGCCAGAGGCAGGCGACGAGGCCGGCGATGCGGCGGGCGGAGCGGGCCAGCAGGCCGACGGTGTCGAGGCTGTTGGCGTAGGGCACGAGGCCGCGGCGCGACAGCATGCCGTAGCTGGGCTTGAAGCCGACGACGGCGTTGTAGGCCGCGGGCAGGCGCACCGAGCCGCCCGTGTCGGTGCCCAGCGCCACGTCAGCGTCGCCCGCCGCACCGCCGCCGCGCTTGCCGCCCGAGCTGCCGCCGGCCGACCGGGGCGGCGTCCCGTCGTCGCCGCCGCCGCCCGCCCCCGTTGAGTGCGGCGCCCGCCGCCGAGTTGGTGTTGTGCGACCCCATGCCGAACTCGTCGAGGTTGGTCTTGCCGACGACGCGGGCGCCGAAGCCGCGGAGCTGCGTCACCACCGTCGCCTCGTAGGGGCTGACGTAGCCGGCGAGCATGGCGGACGCGCACGTGGTGGGCAGCGAGCGCGTCACGATGTTGTCCTTGACGGCGAGGGTGAAGCTGCCGGCTGCTCCGGCGGCCGTGTCTGGCGCGTCCTTTTCGCGGGAGATAAAATGGTTGAGGTGGATGCGATGCCGGCCAAGGGCGGCCGCCGCCGCTGCTGCTGCTGCTGCTACCCCTACATTGGAACGGCGTGCGCGCAGGCCGTGAAGCCTGGCGCTGACCGACATATGCCTGAGTGTAGAGACCGAGTAGCCTGACGTCTTGTTCAGTCGGGCGAGTTCACGTTCAAGGTCGGTGGCTCATGGTTTCTGCGGTTTGGACGTGATCGTTGTTGCGGCACAACCCCTCAATTTTGTCATGTCAGGGTGAAGAAATTCAATCATGGCCAACAGTCGAATTTTTGAATTCATCATCTGCATAAACTACGCAACGTACAGAATAATGGGATGCAAGAAACAGCGAGTAACAATCCTTGGGTTTTGCATGAGGCAATAGGCATGTTATCAATAAGGGAATGAACCTATACGTGCCTCACTTCTTGCCCTCCTCCCCCTCGAGGTGCCACTGAAACACCTTCCTGAACACCTCCTTGCCGTCGCCAACAATCGTCTCGCCATGGCAGGGCACGATGGTGCTAAAGTCCCAGGCGGCGATGCGGCGCACGCTCTCGTTGAACCCGGCCCGGTCGGCGCGGCTCGCCACGTGCCAGATGAAGCGCTTGGCCGCCATCGCGTCGCCCGCCGTCGACATGGCGTTTGCGGCGATGCGCTTGACCGGCCCGTCCTTTGGCCGCGCCTCCTCGGGCACGCGCGAGTACTGCTCCGTCGCGGGCAGGTTGAACATGAGGTCCGCCTCGATCAGCACCCGGTCGGGCCTGTAGCAGAAGGCGAGCTCCTTGTTGCGATGCGAGTCGACAAACTCGGACGCAAAGTCAGCGTCGAACTCGTCCGACACGACCGGCCCCTCCCGCGGCTGCCTCTTCTTGTCCTCGGCCTTGAACACGACTGCGAAGGGCTCAGCCCCGATCATGGGGTCCACGCCGTCCGCGGCCGCCTTGGCACGCTTCTCGGGCAGACCCTCGGGCCCGACGATGCGCGCGCCCGGGAACTCGCGCGCCCACTGGCTGATGAAGATGTGGTGCTCAATGTCGAGCGCCACAATGTAGCGCAGCTCGCCGCCCATGGCCGCCAGCTTGGCCTTGACCTCGGACGTCAGCGCCACGGGCGAGAAGACGGCGAGCGCGCCCGAGCTCAGCCGCACCACCGTGGCCCGCCCGCCGATGGCGAGGAAGCCGTAGCGCAGGAACGGTACCGAGAGCGTCACCACGTTGGGCGTCACGTCGCGTATCACCATCACGTCCGACGGGTTGGACGGCACGAGCTTGCTGGACGCCATGGCAGCAGTGGCGGCCCCGCGTCGCTGGCTGTGGTAGAAAAGGTAGCAGCAGAGCCCGGTCACGGAGAGGGCGCCGAGCACGGGTTCGGGCCGGACCAGTGACCTGGTTTTTCTCGTGCCTCCTGGGCGTTGCGAGAAGCGGCGTCCTGGAGCGAGGGCTGTGCGGTGTGGTAGCGGCGCGATGCTGGTCGTGGCGGCGTGAATGGCCTGAGTCGTGCGAGATGTGGCGGCGATGCGTCTCGTCGTCGGCTGAAGCATTCCTTTGCAAACACGAGGTCGGGATGACGCAGGCTGCGTATGTGTAGGTCGGGGTCAAGGCCTAATAAATGGAGGTAGGTATGTGTAACGTAACGTGCCTACTTTCACATGAACAGCAAGCACCCCCAGCCAGCCACTTTCCCGCATGAACAGTCATCCAGCCGCCACCAAACGACCACCTATGGAGGCCTGACCTTGACACGGCCCGATTGCTAGCTCTGCTCACCTGGTGTCCGCGATTCATAATTCATGCGTGCCTCGGCTGGCGAGGCTCGGTTGCTTCTGGTCGGCGACTTTTAGTTACCTCGGCCATGACCTCATCGCTTAGAGCTTCCAATTCATCTCCCACACCAATCTCGCTCAGTAGTCAGCACTCCAGCAATTACCCCTATTTGCCCACTGTCTTTCTATGCTAGGAATGACCAACACTAAAAGTCCCCACCCCCCCATCCTATTATCGCCCTTTGATGTGAACTTCACAGGCATCCTTGGCCAACACAAACCGACCGTCTCAGAAAGCAACAAGGCCTCTATGATATATGATAATCCCATCTTCCCCCGCACCATGGATACCTACTTCCATACTTGTGTGATTATCCGCTCAAGGAACGACGTCTTCCCCTTAACATGCAATATCAGATGAGGGTCACTTGCATCCTTAGACAAAGGCGTTGCCGCCGTCCTCACTGCTCGCCATGCGCCGCCGCCGGCTACTGAGAATCTGGTCCATCGTTTGTTGGCCGGCCCCAGCCCCATTCTCTGCTCGTGTGGTCGGCGTGTTCTCGCCCAGGGCACTCCTGTCCACCTCTCGCCCCGAGCCTGCCCGTCTGACCAGCCTTACCGACCAGGTCCCCTGCTGTTGATAGGGTGAGCCCCCTTCGGTCGTGCGCGTGCGATGGAGCGGCCGGGCCCGCGCCTCCGACTCTGCTGCGCGCCGGCAGACGCCCGGCCTGCGCTCTGGAGTCTGCGGGCACAACTCTGCCTTGCCGCAATCCCCGAGTCGAACCCCCCGCCCCGGCCGAGGCGACGACGGGCTCTGTCTCTGCCCGTCTGGGCCTGAGCTTTGCGGCTTTTCGTCTTGTTCCCCGACTTGCCTTGCGCTCTCGTCCTCCACAACGTCCGTCCGAGGAGCTTTGTTTTCCGCCAGTGCCCCGCTAGCTCCGCGAGACATGGTTCGCACCGACTGCTGGCACGATGCCTTTCTCGTCATGTTCGGCTGCACCACCGTGAGGGGTTGCGCCTCTTGTCTAGCCTCCTCCTCGCCTTGGGCCGGCCGGCCGAACCCGACTTGGGTCTTTCCATCTTTGCCCACCCCCGTGTCTTCGTCATCGTCTGCGTATATCTGCGCGGACTCCCGCATGTGCCTGCCTTTCTCTGGCGCTTCTCGACTGGTCGGTGTGCTCCATGGGTTGTTCCTAGACCCATGCCATTCGCTCCAGGCTGGCGATGCCTGTACCTCCAGCTTGCTCACATTCGCCGAGAGCCAAGTCTTCCAGTCAACAGACCCTTCGGACGAAATCGCTCTCCGCCGTTCTTGTGTCTCCAAAGCCGAAGATGAGGACTCTGCAGCACCTGGAGTCCTTGAGTTTCTCCTACTCACACGAAGAGAGCCGCTATCATCGCCCTCACCCCTCTCGTATTCTTCTTCCGCGCATGAGTATGAACTCTCAGAGTATGCCCACTGCTCGTCCGCGTCTTGTGCCTCATCCTCCACCCCAGTAGCACTTGATCCGGCTAGTGCATTGTTCCGGTGTTGTCTACCAGCTACAGTGGCTGACCTGGTCGAGTCTGCTGTCTTCATGCTTTCCCGGATTGCTCGGCGGTATGGCGATGCAGTCCTGAAGAGATGGTATGTAGGGCTGCCGAAAAACACAGAACTCCTGTCGGGCCGCGGCTGACCTCTGCCTGGTGATTCAGCGGCATGGGATTCCCGCGCATCAACCGCGGGCGGTGGGGCTGCGTCAAACACGTTATCCTCCGAACTCTGCCGCCTTCTGCTGCCCAGCACCGTGTTCCCAGAGGAGGACAACGCAGACGACCATTCCGCGTCGTTATGGGCCGTGTCAGGGGACCCTGGGACACGCCTGATAGTGTATGCTGTGAGTCTCGTGCCGGAGATGTCTGTGTCGGCGATGCCGTCATCGAATGATTCCGAGCTCTGGCCCAGTACTTGAGCTTCTCGGGCGAGCTGCTGTCGCTCCGTTAACCTCTTAGCGAGGGCCGAGTAAACGCGCTGGCTGTCTATCCCGCACTTCGGGCCGTTGGCGACAGTGGCCGCTGTTGGCGTCCGCGTGCCGTCTGCTGCCGACGGGACTCCAAACCCGTTTTCCTTGATGACCGAAAGGCGCTGTCGGTGTAGGTCGCTCCATGCCTGCTGCTGGCTCGCCACTGTTGAGAGACCCGAGCTTGCCCAGCTGGTGACCCTGGACCCATCGTCTGGCACATCCGAGTCACCCCGTGCGCTCTCAAGGCTACCTCGATGTGACCTTGGCAAGCCATCTACGGGGACAATCTGGATAGAGGCCACCCTGGACGCCGTGCCTATCGAGAAAGGCATATCGTTTTCTTGTGAGCCCATTCTGTCAGCGCTGGTGGAAACGCCGCTCTCACAAGACGCCGAGGAGGGTCTATGGTCATCGGTGCCATGCTCATCCCGCGAGTCCGTCTCATTGTGCTCTATGCTTTTCTTGCGGCGTCCAAACAAGGTTTTGAACCTGGACTTGATATTCTCGGACGCCTTCCTGGCCTTTCCCTTGATTCCGACGCTCCGTGGCGTAGGAATTGTTCCCATGCTTGCCGTGAGCGGGAGCTCGACGCTGTCTCTTAGCGACATCCGGAGTGGCCGCTGGCGCTGTCCAGTCAACCGCTGGCTAATCGACCGCCCCAGGCCTGACGATGGAGAATGAGGGCGAGAAATCTGCAAGGTACCCAGACACATCTCGTCCCTGGCAAAACCATCCTGGTCTTGGGGGACACTGCCATCGGATTCGTTTCGTGATCCAATCCTCCGACTTCCGAGAAAGCTCAGGGATTTGGGGGCCCGAAGAGCTCTGCCAGGGTCACCAGACGGCGGTAGTTCGCCGTCCTTGCCACCCGTGCTCGCCGCGAGCGATTCTGGTCGTACTCTAGAGCGAAAAGGTCGGATCAGGCTTCCGTGAGCGATCATCGACTGTGACCTGTGTATTTTGTGATATGAGGACGGGTCGTCCACTGGTGTGTCGTAATGGTCACAGGCCACTGGCCCGTTGGCGATATATGTCTCGGACAGGCGCTGCTCATGTGGTGACAGTGCCGAAGGAGGCGGCTTGGTCTCCCCGCATATGAAACCCAGGTCCACCTCCTGCTGGTCATTATGGACTGAGTGATCTCTCTCCTGCTCTCCTAAGCGGTCGGAGTCTGTAGTTCTCTCGGTCTTCCTGGCACGCTCGGGCGGAATCACGACAAACCGGACGCTCTGCCGACGCCGGAGTCCTGAAGGGCTTCCGGTCTCGTCTAGGTGGGCTGGCTGGCTCCAGCTGTGCGTCAGTCCCTCGGACGTCCGGTTTAACTGCCTCAGCCGTGGTGGGACTGGGGTCGGAAACAGTGGCGCCTCGACAGACGAGCGATGTCGTCCGCGAGCGTAGGCCTCAGTGGCTGCCGTGTGTGCATCCCGTCTTGCGCACTCCGTGTCGATGTGGTCGAGATGGACACTGCGGACCGAGCTTGTAGACTTGCGGTGTCTGATGGCCGGCTTGCTCTTGGAGCTGTGTCTTCGAAGCATTGGACAAGAGCCGTGAGCTGTTTAACGGCTGCCAAGAACAGGCTCAGGGGGAGGTTGGGCAAAACTGCCAGTCGCTTGGGGTCTAGATAGTGTGCGAGTGCCTAAAAGGGTTCCTGGTACGGGATGGTCGACGATTGATCGATGCCAGGGATGAATACTAGGATCGTTGGCGATAGATGGTGAGTCGGGCGGTGCTCCTTGGGCAGTCATGATGGTTACAGTTAGGTAGGTAGGTAGCCAGGAACTATTCGCGGGTAGCTCCTGCCTCTGTAGTGTCCTTCACAAACGACACTGGAGGTTATTGTACACAAACTGGAAGGCACCAGGTACCGGTAGGCATGCCCGACCTAGGCAATAGATCATCACAGCCGGCTGCATCCACCTCATGTCCCGATCGGAGAAAGCTTAAAATTATGATTCCTGGAGGCTTAACAAATTTCCAAATAGGCAAAGAAAGGAGTCACGTTGAGAAGTAGAAGGACGATGGCAGTGCATGCAAATGAGTAAAATGCAAGTACTAATCCACTAAATAAATATACATGACATTCTGTATGCTCCCATCCAGCCAAGCGAGACAGACAAAGAAACAAAGCATGCGCGACCATCAAGGAGATGGTGAGTAGTAGACTCTCAGTGGGCAAGTAGTCACCATGTGCAAGATAAAAAAAAGCAAAGAGAGAAGCCAAAAACCGACCGACTCAGTGTATATTCAACGAATGTCTTCACATGGAAACTCAATGCCAAGAGAGACTGCCCTTGCTTACCCTTCTAAGCCCTGACTTCGGCGAAGAACTCCTTCAGCTCCTCGTCGACGGCCTGGTGGATCTTCTCAGAGAGCTTCTCAGCCTGACCAGCCAGAGCCGAAGCGCCCTTGGCGACCTTGCCCGAGATGACCTTGAAGTCGTGCTCAATGGCCTTCTCGAGCTCCGTGACGGAAACGAGAGTGGAGCCAGTCTTGGGCTTGGCCTTGTAGCCACCAGCAGCGACAATGGACGAGTAGTTGCTGCAACCGCCGCCGTTCCAGGCGAGCAGGTTGGGGGTATCCTTGGGCAAGTCCGACAGGGCGCCGCTGGTAGCCACCTTGAGGAGGTCGGCCTTGAGCTTCTCGGGCGTGATGGTGGCCAGCGAGTACTCAGAGTCCGAGGCGGGCTGCAGCGACAGGTAGTAGGCCAGGAGACCGGCAATGTGGGGCGAGGCCATAGAGGTGCCCGAGATGGTGTTGATAGCCGTCTTGCTGCCGATCCAAGTGGACTGGATGTTCAGACCGGGGGCGAAGATGTCGGTGCACTTGCCCCAGTTGGAGAAGTAGGCACGGCTATCATCCAGGGCGGAGGCACCGACAGTGACAGCGTCGGCGGCAGCAGCGGGAGAGTAGTTGCAGGCGTCGGCGTTGTCGTTTCCGGCAGCGACGGCGAAGTGGATGCCAGCCTTGACGGCGGCGTTGACAGCCTGATCGAGCAGGGTGGTCTTGCCACCGCCTAGCGACATGTTGGCGACGGAGCCCTTGAAGCCCTTGCGCTTGCCGTCCTTGGCCGCCTGGACCTGGGACTTGTGGCTTTTGGCGGCGAAGTCAACACCGGCAATCACATCCGACATGGTACCCGATCCATTGGACTTGAGCACCTTGACAGCGTAAACGTTGGCCTTCTTGGCGACACCGTACTTCTTGCCGGCGACGGTGCCGGAGCAGTGGGTACCGTGGCCGTTGCCATCGACATCCTCGTCATTGGCGGGGATGGTCTTGCCCCAGTGCGCGCGACCCTCGAAATCGACGTGCTCGGTGTTGGTGCCCGTGTCAATGACGTAGGCATCCACACCCTCGCCACCCTCGGCCGAGTACAGGTACTTGTTGTACGTCGAGAATGTGAGGTGATCGTGGTGCGAAATGCGCGCCAGACCCCAGGGAGCGCTCTTCTCCAGATCGTGGTCGCAGCTCTCCTTGGTGGACTCGGGCACCTCGACATACCTCATCGTGTGGACGATGGTATCCCGCTCGATAGCCTCGACCTGTGTGGCGCGGCAACGACATTAGCATAGACTCATGGCGAGTGATTGCTACTTTGGGACGCAAACAGAAGATAGCAACTTACATCAGGATGCCTCCGGACCATCTCAATGGTCTCATCATCGAAATGCCCAGCGTATCCGATGAAGCCGGAGCCGACATTGTACGTGTGCTTTAGGCCACTGAAGACTTCAACGGCGTCAGAGAAGAGACCCCTCTTGCGGAGCTCGACCCTCTCGTCGTCGCGGCCGCTGTGGACCTTCTGAATCCATTGGTGGTGGTCCGAAGCAGATGACTGGCTCACGTGCTGCTTGAACTTGATGATGTAGGCGTTGGGGATCGTCTCAGCGTTTGAGGATGAGAGGATGGGGGCAGCGCCCTCGTGGATGGTGTCCGTCTTGGCCGACGGGGCGGCAGCAGCCGCTGCGGCCAGCGAGACGAAGAGCACGCTCCTCATGATGGCGGTTACGCTGCGATGTGATGTAATGTGACTGAGTTCGTATCGGATTCCGAACAACAAAATGTCTACCTGCGACTATGATGGATGGACGGAACACACGCGAGGCGGATGGGGCGGGCAAGCAGAACAAAACAATGGCAACAACAAGAACAAAGTGGAAAGACCGAGGCGGTGCGCACACAGAGAGCACGCGGATGGACGATGGGGAGGGAAGGGGGAAAAGGATGGCGGATGGGGTTGAGGATGGAAGGAGGAGAGACGAGAGAGAAAGCGATGGGGGAAGTCGAGGTAGATAACGGGTCAGGTCCGCAAGACGGAGACAGCACCCTTGTGTGCGACAGGAGCTCCACCGTTGCTCCTGTGACGCATCTGGCGGACGTGCTCTTGGGTGTGGCTGGATAAGTGCGCGCAGCAGTCAGGACGGTTTGGGAAGGCCATGCACTGTGTGAGGGAGCGAGCCGCGGCTGGGTGGCGGCTGAGCCATTAAGTGGAGACGCTATCTGGGCCAATGGGGGGCCTGCCCGGCGCCTTCCCCCGCCAACCAACCTGGCCATCCCCGGACTCAAAGAGTTGAGGTGAGAGGCCAGCTGTTGAGTGGACGACCACGGCTAGCGGGCCACATGTGCCGACCAACTGACCACGGGGGCGGGTACCTGCCAGGCCCCTGGGACGAGTCCTCTCCAGTGGTCGACAACAGGGCGAGCGGCTGTCAACCTCGGCGAGATTGGATGGCTAGATTGGATTCCGGATCGTATCGGTGAGCTTGCACAAGCTTCTGCAGGTATCTAGGTCACTCACTACCTTACCTACCTAGGCAGGCACCTACACCGTACATTGGAGAATCAATCCAGGCTGCTAGTGATCAAGGGTAGCTTTCCACTCATTCCACCTGGGCTGGGCTCAAACGGCAAGCCGAGGCTCCATTTCGCTGCATCGGGATCACCAGCAGCCCAGATGGGTGGAATGGATGGAGAATGCTGGGGAAGCTCGGGAAGGCAAGGCAGGTACCTCGCGTTCGCCGACCATATTCGTACTGTGCTGGGTTCTGTCCGCCAGCTCCTGGCAAGTGCGTCAGACATCCCCACACCATTTCCTCTTGTAGCTATCTTGGGGGATAGCGAGATAAGAAGTCACGAGGCCACTTTCGCGGCGGCGAGCTGGGATGGGCTAGGATTGGCCTAGCCTGGCCTCAGCGACCAGGCTGCCGGGGTAACGACGCAGATGGGTCGCCTGAGCGAATCAACAGAATGTATTATGAGCACTGAATGCCGTGCTTGACAGCGCCTTTCGAGCTGCCCCAGCTCGCCATCTCGTCTCGCTGGTTGCACAAATCCCATCGTTGCAGCGAGGGCGATTCAGCACAAAGCTTGCTACGTCGTCAGCGCCAGGTATGACTCGCCACTCCAACCAACAAGAAGGGGCCAAAATGGGAAGGACCTTATCTATGAAGCTTGCCACGGAAGGACTTCTACTTGGGCCCCCGAGCTCATCACCAAGAAAAAAGTGCATCTCTGATCTACAATTTAGGTAAAAGAAAAAATACGCCAAGATGCGGGAAGGCAACCATGTACTAAATGATGGGTGGGAATTTGTCACCTTGAAAGGTGTACGTACGTAGTAAAGAGCATGAGCTTCTGAGACCTCCAGAGGATAGCCTCGTGACTCGATGCACCGCTGGATTCTGTTCCCTGTCCGTGACTTCTTTGCCTGGAAAATCAGCAGCACGTGCAAAGTGTCCCGATGGATGTTTGGGTTGGGTGCCCGGATGCCTGGCACCCCCATGACAAAATTATTGGCACCGCAATTCGATTTTTTCCCCACTAAACCACCATTTTCAATCCAAACCACGTCACAACAAAGCCTCAAAACGATGCCTAAAAAGCTCTCAACGCCTAGTAAAACACGCGTGCAATCTGTATGCGATTTCCTTGATTCAGAAAAGCGTCCTTACAGTCACAATACTGTTTTTCGTTGGGCTGGAATCTCCAAGAGATCCGGCTGGCGTATCCTTTCCCAACCCTGTTAAATCGACCCTCGAACCTTCGCGTCCCTCGAACCTTCGCGTCCCTCGAACCTTCGCGTCCCTTGAACCTTCGCGTCCCTCGAACCTTCGCGTCCTTCGAACCTTCGCGTCCCTCCACCCTACCTTTTGTTGCGGTGCCAATAATTTTGTCATGGGGGTGCCTGGATGCCTGGATGTCTGGCACCAGGTGAAAAAAAAAACGTGCACTCACAACAAGAGGGGTCACATTTCAAAGGCAAATAAAACTACAACAAAAAATAGCCCACAGCTGTAATTTATATGCAATTCAATGGGCAGTCATTTTCCCTTCGCCCTTTGTAATTTTTCAGAGGATCCGAGGCGCGTGTTATGGTAACAAGGCATTGCAATCAATTGAATTGATTTTCTCTTGATGTTTTTTTGCTATAGAGTTTGGGTGGGGAAAAACATAACGCGTGCACGGTTTTTTTCACCTGGTGCCTGGCTCTCGCGGCATCCACCCTCGCAGTCAAAGCGCGAGCAAGCCACCTGGTTCCCGCTTGGATGTGGCCGTGGTGGCGCGCTGCGTGCGTGATGACTCGTCAAGGTCCGATCTTGTTTGCACCCGCACCGCATGAAAAGAATAACGCGCACTCACAATCAATGGGCCTTTACTTCAGAGGCTATTTCTCCGCAGCAATTCATTCGCACAAACTTATTTTTGTATGCAATTTAATGGGCTGCCATTTCCCCTTCCCTTTTGCTATTTTTCCAGTATTTAAATCATTCTTGTTGTGGTGTTGAGGCACTGCAATTGATTGAGTTGGTTTGGTTTGGTATTTTTTGCGGTGGTTGTGAGTGCACGTTATTCTTTTCAGGTGGTGCCGCACACCCGGTCGATTGTGGCGGATAGTGCGGATACGCCCAACAGGCTTCCATTAGATGGAGGTTCGAAATGGACATCATACATACATAATCTGTTGAAAATCAGACGCAAAATTCATGGGGGGCGCAGTCCTGACGCCCGGCCTTGGACTGCTGAACAATAAGTAGCACACGCGACAGGGCCGTGGATCGGATCTTGTGCCATGGCCCCAACCGGTACCTATTGCACCTAAAAACACCCCAGAGATTTACATCAACTGAAAATACCTGGAACGCCTGTTTGGTCGAGAGCGAGTGATTCCCAGCGAGGGATCTCGCAGATGCGTGCAGTATTAATTAATCATCGGCCCATTTTTGGGGGTGGGCGATTGACTCATGCGTGGGAGTGTTCAAGTGTTGTGCCCGGATGCAGTCACAATGCTTGCACAAGCCTCCCGAGACGCGAAAGACGCTGCTGCGGCGGCGAGGGCGGACCCTGACGAGGGCAGATTGATCGCGCGTTCTGGGGATCCCCTAATAACAATGGCACATCCGCAGAAGCCGGTCGCGTAGCAAAGGTGGGCCTGCGCACAGGGGAGGGAGGGTATCTTTGGGAGGCAGACGCTGTTCGCATTTGGTCCAGATCTGGATGTCTCGGTCGATGGATAAGCGAGCCTGCCCGGTCCCGGATCCCACGTCTTGTCGCGCTGGGAGCTGGCCTTCATGCAGCAGTGGCAGCCCCATCCCAGTTATGCTTGGCCAAAATCACTCAGCTCTCCGGATAGACCGCCTCGACCACCTCCTGGGACAGGCGGTCATGCCATTGACTGACACGCGCCGATGGACGAACAACCGTGCATACACTTACGATGGTGGGCTCGGGAGGACACAGATGGTGTCTTTTCCGAGCGAGCGAGGCACCTGCGGGCCACAGCAAGGCTGCCGGGAGATTGTCATAGAGCCGATTCCGACGACGGGTAGCAGAGCTGGGGGGACTTGGTGCTCGGACACGCTTCACACACCCGCCGGGGAATTTGTGCAATCAGACGCTAGCGGGGGTGTTTCATGGGGGGCGGGCAGCCAGCGCCCGGCGCAGGCGTGCCCTGCTAGGCACGAACTCAGGCACTCTAGGCAGGCCCGACTGGGCAAAGCACCACTATCCAGGCGACCAGTAGTACCGGCCGCCCGCCCGTGCGCGGGGACTGCCCCATGCGCCCACCACCACTAGGAACAGAGTCCTCTCCTCCCGATCGGTGACATTGATTGCTACGAAGCCAAACCTTGAGACGGACGGACCCTTGAGAGAATCACGGAAATGTATCAAGTGACGGTTTGGCTGACGGGCCTTTTTCCGTGCTCCTTTTTTTTTCTTTTTTTCTTTTTTCGTGAGGGGTTAAGTGAGTTAAGCCGAATAACCCCTGTGTGGTACCTATCACCTACCTCTAGATAGACAAGACGGCTGTGTTGAGAGGCAGGACCAGAACAGAGCAACAGAAAAAAAAACGAAGCGAGCGTACCGCCGGCAGAAGCAGAAGGCCTCCACTTTCGGCAGGAGTACCTTTGACGCCCGCGCCCGCGCCCGCGCCCAGCACCCACACCCACGCACCCCCCAGGCAGGCCAGACACGACAGACCAGACGAACGGCGGCAGGCTCGCTTGTTGGGTCTTGGCCAAGGGCCAAGTAGCACGAGTGCTCGGCAGTATATCTCGTCGCCGTCCTCGCCAGACCCGCGGCAAGCACCACCCCCGCTCCCGCCCACCGTTGCCTCGCACATGAAAACGCGCCAATGCCCAGACGAGCCCTGCCCCCATGGACCCGGACGCGACGCCGCCGATTGTTCCACCTCTTCAGGACCGGAGCCAGCTCGGTCTCAGCCCGGCTGCCGCTGCTGCTGAGGCTGCCGCCATCAAGCGCAGGGCCCCGATTGCCTGCCGAAGGTCAGTTTCCGTGCCCAACCCCAGCCCAGCCCTGCGCCGCGAGCCATGTGCGAGTGTGTACTTGGTTTTTTTTGTCTTGGTTTTTTTTTGTCTTAGGTTTTTTTTTGTCTTAGTTTTTATTGTTGTTGTCATTACTGTTATCACGACGACAAACACCTGCGACTGGCTGGGCAAGCCACCACCGACGCCTCCCGCCCAGCCATCGGCGCCGTATCTTGTCTTGTTGGGGGGTAAATGTGGGCGGCTAGGCGGCTGCCTCTCCCTATTATCTGAGGGGTGACTGTAGTCGGCTTGTCTGCCTGCCTGTAGACCCGTCTCCCTGCGTCGGCCGTCTTGGAGAGCAAGGGCGTTTGTCGGTACTACATGGGCGCACGCGCGCGCACGCACATTCACACGCAGGCACGGCGCACATCGCACACGCTCGCGCACACCGCACACCGCACACCGCACACCGCACACCGCACATCATCACCATCACTCGCTCGCTCGCACACGCCCTCTATGGCGGCTTCCCCTTTTGATATATACATATACACATATACGTGTCTCTCTCTGTCTATAGGCTACTGACACGCGTCTCGTCGCCATCAAGGTGTCGGCGCATGAGAAGCAAATGCGTTCATGACAGGAAACCGCCTTGTGACTCCTGCAAGGCCGCTGGGCTTGGCCCGGAGTCATGGTAAGATTCACGCGCGAGTCCGGCGAGGTAGCGCCCCCTGGCCAGCCCCGAGCCATGACTTCTCTCGACTGACTGACTTGCCCAGCATCTTTCCTGTTCGCGGCCAGCCCGACAGCGACCGCGACTATCGTCACCCCCGCCTCAAGGCAGAAAAGGCCGGTAGGAGGGACCCGGCAAAGGCCCGGGCTGGTTCCTCCGACGCCGCATTGCCTCCGCCCCTCGGCCAACCGCGCCTCCACAAGGTAGTCAAGGGCGCTGACGCCTGGGACTCGCTGCCTCCCCTGCCCGACATCATCGACGCTGTCGAGAAATTCACCCGCCACTACTTCCAACTGGGCTTCATCCCCAAGCAGCTGTTCACCGAGCGCCTGCGCCAGGATCACCGCTCCGTCAGCGTCTTTCTCCTTCTCAGCATACTCGCCATCTCCGCCCGCTTTACGCCGTCTCTGATCAGCCGCTATGGGAGCGATGGCATAGCAGCCGCCGAGACCTTTATCGAACGCGCCTCCGCCTTTGCCCTGAACGAGCTCTATGAGCCGCCTACTCTTGAGAGATGCCAGGGCTTCTACCTTTTAAGCATTGCCCAGCAGGGCAGTGGCTTGAAGAACAGTAGCTATGTACGGTGGACTTGTTTGCATTGTCTCACTTCGCACGTCAAACCTGGATTCTGTAGTCTGACCGCACCGACTAACTGCTGTCCCCCGTGTAGATCAATCTCGGGATTGCCATGCGCATGGCAGCGTTGATGGGTCTTCACCGAGAGGAGACGTATGCGCTCCCGAACCCAACCAAGGAGCTGGTTATTGCAGCCGAGTCGGCTCGAAGAACATTGGTATGTTGGCCTGTGTTACCCACAGTCCTCACTGGGTGCTCCGTCGTGCTGACGCCGGCCGGTTTGCTGGTGGCATCGTGATAATAGTGGATGCTGCACAGTCAAGACAACCTTCACGCTGGTCCCTCGTCTCCCGTGTCCCTGGCCACCAGCGACATCACTGCCCTCCTTCCCAGCAATGAGGAGGACTTCGACAAAGGCTGCGAGCCAAAGTCGCGCGCCGCTCTCGCCGATACCCCACCTGCCTTGGAGAATCCCAGCCTGATAGCCGACACGGGCCGGTCCCTATTCGCGAGCCTAATCCAAACGCATTATTTCTGGGGCAAGATATCTCGGAGGGCGGTTGCGCCACAGGACACCAAGAGTTCGCGCCCATGGGAGTCCCAGAGCGAATACGCTCAGATGGTCGAGAAGCTCAATGCGTGGGAGAGGAGCTTGCCCGACGAGCACCGGTGGAGCAGCTACCTGCTCAAGGGCTACAAGGTCGATGGCCTGGAGTTGGTTAGTGTGTCCGACGACTTGCTGTCCCTCGTGTTTTGACAAGATGGTGTGGCTTTCTAACCGCAGATTTGGCTACAGGCCTATCTGGCAGTCACCATGGTGGCTCGCCTGTGCAACATCGTCCTGCGGAAATCATACCTGCACTTCATACTCAGGGGCAACATGGAACCCCGGGATTTCTGGGCTGACATGTCGCTTGAACTGTTCCGCAACGTCAGGGGTCTGTACGAACAGATTGACGCCCAGTTCAAGGACCGGAGACCTGAGGATGGCACCGGAGCCCAGATTACGGTAAGTCTTCTCCTCGACACATGACTGACACTACAGCGCGAGGGGAGCCTCCCCGGCTTGGCCATTCGGACATGGTGCTGACCAGTTTTCTGTTCCTCAGTCCTTTTGTGTTTACAGCTGTGGCATACTAGCCGCATATCTTTGCAAGTATCCAAACAGTAAGGCCCGAGTCCATAATCTTGTCGGCACTCTGGTTTGTAGAGTTCGTGATTTTGATACTGACACACGACCCGCAGTCTGCCCAGACCCGGTTATCTCGGCCGAAGGACCCATGATGCTGCACCGGACCATGGCCATCTTGCAAGAAAGCCAGGCCGTCTGGCCACTCGCCTCAAGATGGCGCGAAGGGCTCGATAAGTTCGCACACGACCAGAAGGCCACCGTGAGCCACGAGGGCAGCATGGCCGACGGGGTAAGTCGATCAAAGATTGAATCCTACTATGCCACCTCTTTTTTGGCCTCCAGGGGCAAAGGCTGACGTCCGACTTCGGCCGCAGAAGGACCCAGTGCCGCAGGCCCTCCAACCCGTGCCTTCGCACTCGCCAGTCGAGCGATCGGCTACCATTCCCGCTATCGACAAACGGCAAGCCGCGGGTCTGGCCGCGGTCAGCACGCCGCAGCACCGAACCCCACCAGCAAAGCCTGCTGTCACACCCGCAGCCCACCGCTCCGGACCGCAGCCCATGCCTGACAACATGTACCTCGACTCCCCCATGAGGCTGGCCGCCGCCGCCCTGATGCCCCAGTCTCAGAATCAGCACCCTCAACAGGCCCCGCACCACTCGCTGCACCACCCACATCAGCGCCTACACTCACAGCATGGGCAACAGCATCACGTCGCCCAAGATATGCAGGATTCGGCCACTCGCGCCGCCCAGACGGGCGGCCTCGATCTGCTGATTGAGGCATCATATACACACCACCAGCCCGGCGCCGTCAACCCACCGGCGCCCCCCTACAGCGCCATGGGCCCGCCCCAGGCGCCGCAGCCTCCTCCGCCAGAGGCTGCCATAGTCGACTACTACGCCCAAAACGACGGCTATGAGAACGAGCTGCAGTTCTACATCGATGGTGCCCCCAACAACATCCAGGTCTGGGTGCCAACCGAGAGCATGTATGGCTATTGACGTAACTAGCCAAAAGAAAATAGGTGTCTACTTGCTTGGTGCCTTGTTTTGTTTTCCCCAATTTTTCGGTTGTCTCTTATCTTGCCTAAATTCCTTGTCTTGCTTTTGTTTTGTGTCATTGTCTGCGTTCTAAGACGGACATTTGGGTAGAATAGATCAGGGACATCGTAAACATAACGGCCTGTCGGTGTTGTTGGAATGATGGCGAGGCGCGGTTAGTCGCATTGGGAGCCGTGGTAGCGGCGCGGATACAGACTCATTTTGTGGGATTCATTCATGTGGTGATCAAGAGTGTGGCCACCACCCAAACTTTGCTAAGATTTCCATTGGCTTTTTATCTTCTTCTCTTCTTAGCACTATGTTGGTCTTTTTTCCCCCCTCCCTTCTTCCTTTATTTATACTCCGTCCCTTTGGCCTTTCCACCGTGCCGGTCTTTTTGGCCTTTAGGCTACAGAGAGCAAGCACTTGATATACACACTAGCCTCGAATAAACACGAATAGCCTTGATATCGTTGTTTGTCGTCAGCAGGCTTTTGCCCCTTCCGTGCCATACCGCGTTGCATGGCCCGTCGGTTTCTCTCGACGGCACGCATGCCGGTTGATCGTTACAAACATGTTCTTGTCTTCTCACGACTTAGCTGACGTTTCGTTTACTGGTTGGGCCATTTAGACATATGTATGAATCTCGTTGGTTGAATGAAAACTGCTGACTTGGTGCTGAGCCCGCGCGATAGACCTGTGGACGGGAGAGACCCAAAATGCCGCCAATACATGTCCAGCTGCTCTCTCGAGATATGCTTTGAAGATTTATCCCCTATACTGCCTGCCAGGCCTCCCTTCCCAAGTCAAGCGCCTTTTGACCCGGCTAGCCCATCCACTTGGATGGCGAGGCTATTGAACATGGATTGTAGCAGCCGAAAACATGCCACCGTAGTCTACTACTCTACGCAGTTCGTTCCCAGAACGGTTCACCATTCCCCAACCAGTAGCACGCCGAATACTAATCACAAATATAACGAAATCAGGATGGTGGGGGGGGGGGGGGGGGGGGGGGGTAGGAGCAAACAAAAACACCAAAAAAATTACAAGAGGGATTTAGCGAGGTATAGGCAGAAAACTGTGTGATTGTTATCTCTCACAGACGATTCGCGTTGGGCCCACGCCGGTTTGATTCCTGAGATTCGGAAGAGGCTCGTCAACCAGTGCTGGACGGTGTGGTCATCTCTCTTGTCAACGGTGCAGGAATAAGGGAGGGCGGCATGATACCTTCCGTCTTGGCTGCCCCGGCCATTGTCAACATGTATGTGCGCTGCAAGTCTCCAAAAGTCATCCTGGCTCTCGCGGATGAGATAATAGGGCCCGGGGTTAAGAGGGATGGCAGGCACACAAGCCCAGGCGGTATAAAGCGCGACAGTATCGAGGTGTAAAATGCAGTGCAGGCCAGTGTAGTGTCAGGATTTGGGGATTCTCAGATTACTAGTGTCGTGAAGATGGGTCTAGTTATGTACATCATGGGCACAAGATGGGGTATTGTGACGGGTATGTGAAACCAAATGTTGTCTTCCAAGGCCATAATCACCAACCAAGCACATCGCAGCAGCCATGCGGTACCCTGGGCGGCGGGCGGCCTAGAGGCGTGATACCTGGGGTCGCTAAGGCTGGGTGACGGTGGTGGTATGCGGCCTCTTTGAAGGGGGCAAGGGCAAGGGGGGGGACCGGCTTCGGGGTTTCAAGGCAGGGGCAGCCGGGACGGGGCGCTGCGTTGGGGATGCTAGCCCAACTGGACCCAAGGGGCATGTGGGAAGTCTAGAAGATCCGGCAGGCGTCCTACTGATAACAGGTGCCTCTCGACACGGACCAACTTTTCCACGACGCTCTCAGGTCTGCTGCATGACGGAGACAGACCCGCCGATCTGGCGCTTGACCTGCTCGCGAGCCCAACGGGCCGTCTCCACTGTCCGAGGAGTGAACTCGCGGTTCGAGCGAGTCTCCTTGATGAGGGTCGTGAGCCAGTCTTGCCTGAAACCATCGACGAGTTCACCGTTGGGGTAGGCCTCGGCAAGATCGCTAGAGCAAGTGTTAGCAGCTGTATTCCTTCTTTGCTGTTTTTTCGACTGAATGAGCAGTGCAAAGATAATGCTTACCCAATCACACCCATTGACGCGCGCATCAGGGCTTCGCTGCGGTTGGAATCGCTGCCGATGTTCTTGAGCAGCTCGAATATGGACTCGACGTAGGGCTGCAATGTTTGGGCTGTGGGACGAGGCGGAGGGACAGGCGGTTAGTCACCGACGCCCTCGATATTCGGGCAGTCCCCAACGGGATTGAGAGGAGGGAAACTTACTCTTTCCGGAGCCCTTCATAGCGCCAATGATGCCACCCCAGGCATCCATAATGCCCTCCCTCAGTGAGATGACGTAGTCAAACATCTCGTACGAGCCCTCGGGCACAGTGGTGATGGTTGACGCCTGCTGCAGCACTTGTGCCACCACAGACAAGTACGTCTCGAAGTGACCGCCGATTGCGTTCGCAATGTCGCCAAAGCACTGAAGGATTGCGGGCTTGAACTGGTTGGACAACGTGGAGCTCTATACGGGACACAGGGGACTTAGGTTAGCTCGATGCCGATTGGTACTAGGTCTCACAAGATCCGCCGAGACCAGAGGCAGCGCATCACACATACCCTGAGGTTGTTCAGCAGATAGTTCATGAAGTTGTCGCAGTACGGCTGGCTCCGCTCGCCCATGGATCGAGTGATATCGCTGACAAGGCCGATAGCCATCGAGCAGAGACTGGGTTCCTCCTGGTTTCCAAGGGCGTTGTACAGGAAAGGCGCGAATGCGTCCATGTACTTGACAAACTCGTCCTCGATGGCGTTGGCGAGGCTGCTGATGGTGGCGAAGATAGCCTCGGGAACGGTCGACCTGCCGTTGACCGTCGACAGGATCTGCAGTAGAACCTGCATGATGCGGTCACCCTGGGGCAGGATCTCCTTGTCCAGGCGGCTGATGATGCCCTGGAGAACCGTGGCGAGGCTCGTCTGCATGTCCTCGAGGGTGATGCGATCCTCGACGCTGACAACCTGGCTCTGCAGCGGGATGGTACCCTCGAAACGCTTGAGGATGACGTCCGAGAGCGCGGCGACGGCCTGGAGGCTCTCGCCAGCCGCGTTGACCACAAAGGCGTTGAGCACCTCGTAAGCCGCCGTTCGGACGGACGAGTCGCAGTCTTGCCTCTCCGTCACGCCCAGAAGGCTGGTGACACTCTCGTTAAAGTAAGGCGTGATGGCGTTCTGCGGGGCCTCGGGCTCACCGGCAAATCGCTCGGCCAGGTTCATCAGGGCCCAGCAGCACGAGGCAGCCATCTTGGGATTGTTCAGCAGGCCGGCGAACAGAGAGCGGATAAGGGGCTCAAGATGCTGGGCAGGGTCGATAGCTTCAGAGCAGGCCTCGGTGATACGGCCCAGAGCATAGGCTGTCGAATCCTTGACGTGCAGCGAAGAATCGTCCATCATGGAGATGAGTATCTGGAGAGCGGACTTGACAATAGGCTCCAGCACCTTCTCCTCGGGGCCCTCCATAATGGCTCCAAAGGCGGAGACGGCAGCGTCACGATGGTGCCAGTCCTCAGCGCGCAGGTTTGCCTCGACGAACTGGATGACAGGCGGGATGATGGTAGCACCAACGGCCTGTGCGTACAGCTGAAGACACTGGTATCCGGCACGCGAGACGTTGTACTCGTCGTCGGCAGCGTCCTCGTCCTGCTTGGTCAATAGGGTCAGCAGGACGGGGACGACCTCGTTGGTGGCCACGCGGCTGAAGTTGTAGAAGGGCCTCATCTGATCCGAGCTCTCGACCTGGGCGTTCTCGTCCTCGATAGCAATCTCCTCCTCGCAAACGGTGCTCCAGAACTCGACGGCGAGCTTGGCCACGTCCTCATCTTCGTTTTTCATCCCGAGGATGGTAAGGCCAAAGAGGGCCTTCTCCATGTAGAAGCGCATGTTTTCGTAGTAAAGGGCCATTATGCGGTTGAGGCAGCCAAATGCGCCCTGCTGCACGCGTGTGTCGTCGGCCTGGGTGGCCTCGCAGACGACCTGCATGATGTAGTTCCTCTCGCCCTCGTGCTTGAAGTTGTTGCCGACAAACTCGAGCGAGTCACCGAGGGCCGTGATGGCGGCCAGGCGGATCTCCGTGTTGGTCTCCTCCTTCCTCGCGCCCTGCACAACGGCCGTGAGAATGGCGTTGGAATGGGTCACCAGGGCGGCCCGGAGCTCCGGGTCCTGGCTCTCACAGATGAAACCGATGGTGGTGAGCGAGGCCTGCTTCTGATGCGGCTGGCCGTCGCTAACGTTGCTGACCAACACGTTCATCAAGTCCGTCCACTGGCCGCGGGGCAGCTCGATCCCGGCAATCGACGAGATGACCTGGGCTGCAGCCTGACCGGCCTGGGCGTTGGAGGAGGCCAGGGTCTGCAGCGTCAAGCTCTTGACCCTGCCCTTGGTCTCCTCGTCCGTCTCCTGGAGCCATTTCGCCTGCAGGGCCGCCTGGCGGGAAAACTCGCGGGCAGTAAATGCGTTTTTCACGGCAATACCGGCCGCCGCTCGGATGTGGCCCGGTGCCTCTTCGTTCGCAAGCACCTGGACCAGGGTGGCAAGGTATAATGACTGTAGGAGGGGTAGAGAGTGGCGGTCAGTCAGAAACGAGACTTGGGGCGAGGCTCGAGCCAGGGACGGCCGGGAAGCGGCGGGGCTGGACGTACGAAGTTTGTCTCGGCTGCCTGGGTAAGTTGCTGTTCGGCGGCGTTTCGCAAGTTCGCGTCTGTTGGCGGTTGATGGTTAGTGGGGCGCATCCAAGGCCGGGCTCAAGGGCACCGAGTCGCGTTCGTTGAAGTCGTGGGCGGCGGGCGGCGGGCGTGGGGTGGGGTTTTTTGAGGGGTGGAGAGCTGGGAGGGCGGGATGCTCACCTGGCGACAGCGAATTGGTCAACACCGTCGTGATGTCCGATCCCGACTCCATGGTTGAGGCCCCTCTAGCCAACAACGGGACTGTTTGTGGTGATGAAAGGTTAGCTAGCGCACAAGGGCCTCGAGGAACTGAGCACTGCGTCCTCCTGAAGCTCGTCAAATTCTAGTATGCAAGGTAGAGGAGGACGGCTGGGGTTTTGATGCTCATGTGGTATTTGTGCGAGAATGGGAACGCATAGAAGGAAAACAGCCAAAGAAAACAAGAGGGACAGAAAATGGAGGAAGTAGCACGAATGTAGCCTCGGCAACAGGGCAAAGGGATGCAAGAGATAAGCGAAAGTACGGGTGAAGGGGGATCGGAGCAGCCCAAGGCGCGGCAAGCCGCCCGACCTTGGAGCGCGCCCTGCCGACCAAGTCCAGCGCCGGAGCCCCGACGGAGGAAAGACGGATAGCTAACGAGCACGCAGTCATGGCAAGGGCTGCTGAGAAAGACGACGCCTGGCCAAGGCGGACGGAGGCGAGGAGCGGGCCGTCCTGGAGAAGGCGCGCGCAGGCTCCGGCCAGCGGCGGAGGGCGAGGAGGGATGACGGGAAGAAGGGATGCGAATTTTGTGTGCGTCGGCCCACAGTGAACATACCTGAAGCAGAACAACAAGGGGTGGGTTTGGCGAGAAAAGGAAAGTGAGGGTTTAAACAAGAAAGGAACGACTTGGTTTGCGGGTTGCGGTGATGTCTCGCGTGGTGGACGCTCGTGGTGGTGGGCGGTGGTGTCGTCCTTGGATCACAGGCCTTGCTTGGGTGGTTTTAATCTGGAGTTGTCTGGGGCATGCACCGGCTCGCTGTTGTTTTGGTTTGGGTTTTCTGCCCTTGTCGAGCAACGGGACGAGGTGAGGGGTGACTGGCTGGCTGCACCAAGCCTCAACACTGACCGACAGCACGACAGGTGGGGCACACTCCTCCCGCCGCCTGGAGCGGTCAGATTCCAGAGCCGTCAGTTGGGTGGATCGCACGGCAGGCAGACGCAGCCGTGGCAGGCAGACGCAGCCGTGGCAGCCAGCAGACGGCTGAGGCCAGACCGCAAGCGGCTGCGGGCAACAAACCAACGCTAACAGCAGGCACGGAGTTGACGTCAAAGCCTGGGGCACGCACAGACTACGGACGGCGGATACTCGACTTGATTCGTGTACCTAGGTAGGAACACCGGCATTTCAAATGATCCAAATAAAATAAAGCTCACGGTTCCCGTTCGCATGGGCAGAATGCCAGTGTGCAAGAGCGCCTACGTGCACCCAACCGTCCAGAGCAGTGTGCCAACATTGATACACCCACGATCGCTGGTGCTGTTTTGTGGCACTGTGCGAATTTGTCGGGGCTGAATCAGGGGCAAAGGGCAACCAGAGGACAGCCTAGGTATCCGACAAAACCAGTCTGGTCGTGAGGCGGCCAAGCCATCCCTACCAGGCAAAGACAGGCATCCATCTGGATGGGGCCCCGTGTCTATTCGTGCGAACCAAGAGGAAGCCAATCGAAGAGTGGGCAAGAATCAGAGGGGCTCCCACGCCCACCACAAAAAGATGGCAGTTCCTTCGAGGAATAGGACCAGGAATACATGCACAAACAGAAACAGAATAAAAGAATAGGAGGAATAAAGACAGTAGTCAAAATAGGAATAACAAGAAAAAAAATAAGACGACAGCTCGCGGATCTTTGGGCTCCTACGATAGAGGAGGAGACGCCCCTGGACTTCCAAATCCACACGCACAGCCACACCGACAGTGTTGCCTTCTTTGTTCCTCGAGGAACGCACTTCTGCCTGTTTGTGACTGCCAAAGATCCCTGCCAGTCTGCGTTTGACTTCTCATCCTTGAGCTGCGATATTCCCATTGGTCCGAACCCTACCAACTCCTTCCCTGCAGTCTTGTCTTGCCCTCCCAGCCTGACAGGGCTCAACTCGTCGTCACCAGCAAGGCAACCTAATCTTTACGTAGGTCCTTTGTGATTTTTTTTTTTTCATATGACCATATAAGTACCTACCTAGGAAGATGTCTATCTACCTACTTAGCTACTAGCTAGATCCACTCATCCAACAAACAACACACTAGCTAGTTGCCCCATCCATGGATCCAAATAGACAGGCATCTCCTTTTACTTTTCTTTCCCTTTTGTTCTGGGCCCCCTTTTGAAAAAGCTCTTTTGGTTTTTGTTTCTGACCGTGTCCCCATTTGCAATGCTTTTCTCCCACATGGACCACTAGGCTCAAACAATCACCAACCGTTTGATACCAATAAATGAAGTCCGTGTCCTCCTCGACCTGCCCAAACGACAGTGTTTCACATTTCATCCGCTTGTGCCTCCAGGGCCTGAATCAGGTCTGGCTTGCGAGCAGTTCCGTTGTGCGCACCAGGCTTCAGGCTATTCCTGTCGTTCAGGTCCAGCTCTTGACTGAGAGACCTTTGTGGTGTCGGGCGGGCCACTATCGGGCTCCCAGGCCGGCTTCCAACGAACTAGTTCACAGATGATACGAGGTCAGCGTATTTCGTCATGCTTGGCAATGATTTATTTCCAGGACTTACGTTGCTGGCAGCGCTCAGGAGCGCGATCAGGGAGCTTTGTACCACGTCCTCATGCAGACCCACGCCCCATATCTTCTGTGACATCCCCGAAGCCGTGCACTCGATGTAGGTGGCGGCCTTGACGTCTCGGCCCTTGCCGACGGCGTGTTCCTTGTAATCGCTGACGTCGAGGTCGACGCCCACTGACCGGAGCGCGTTGGCCAAACTCGAGATGGGGCCGTTGCCCCTGCCGCGCAGCTTGTACTCCTTGCCTTCGAGCGCGATGACGCCTTCGAACACGCGCATGAGGTTCTTGGTGTCTTGTGTTTTACCAGGCGCCGGAGGGGCGGGGCTCGTCGACCGATCTGGGTTGATGGAGTAGTCCACGATGGAGAAGCGGGGGTTCTCGCGCAGCGAGTACGTCTTCTGGAAGAGCTCCGTGATCTCGACTGGCAGCAGCTCCCTGCCCAGCTCGTCGGCCATCTTCTGCACCACCTTGCTGAACTGCACTTGGAGTCCGCGGGGCAGATCCAGATGCAGGTGCTGCTGGATGATCCAGGCCGCGCCGCCCTTGCCGCTCTGAGAGTTGACCCGGATGACGGCATGGTAGTCGCGCCCGATATCCTTGGGATCCAAGGGGAGGTATGGCACCTGCCAGTAGTCGTTGTACTCCGCCCCAGTCTGCTCCCGTAGCTGGAAGCCCTTCTTGATGGCATCCTGGTGGGAGCCGCTGAAGGCGCAGACAACCAGGGAGCCTCCGTAGGGCGCGCGCGGGTGCACTGGGATCTTATTGCACACCTCGACAACACCGATTACGCGGTTTAGGTCCGAGAAGTCGATATTGGGATTGATCCCCTGGGTATACAGGTTCAGGGCCAGAGTGACCAGGTCGACGTTGCCGGTCCGCTCGCCGTTGCCAAACAGGCAGCCCTCAACGCGGTCGGCACCGGCCATCTGAGCAAGCTCAGCAGCGGCGACGGCGCAGCCGCGGTCGTTGTGCGGGTGCAGCGAGACGCTAACCTTCTCCCGCTCAGATATGTTGCGGCAGAAGTACTCGATCTGGTCGGCGTATACGTTGGGCGTCGACATCTCGACCGTAGCGGGCAGGTTGAAGATGATGGGGTTCTCTGCCGTCGGCTCCCAGGCAGCCTTGACGGCCTCGCAGATCTTGACGGCAAAGTCCAGGCCCGTATCGGAGAAGGTCTCGGGGCTGAACTCGAACGCCCACTCGGTATCCTTCTGGGCCGGGTCGTCTTTGGTCAGGGAGCGGACCAAGCGGGCGCACCGGGTGGCCAGCTCGAGGCTCTCCTCCTCGGTAAAGCCAAAGACTATGCGACGGAAGCATTCGCTTGTGGCCAGGTATATGTGAATGATAGCCTTCTTCGCGCCCTTGACCGACTCGACGGTGCGCCGGATGAGGTCTTCACGACACGGCGAAAGCACCTGTAGCCAGACATCGTCGGGAACCGTGCCGGGCGTCTCGATCAGTCGCCTTGTGAAGTCAAAGTCCGTCTGCGACGCCGACGGGAACGAGACCTCAATCTCCTTGTAGCCCAGCTCGCACAGCATCTTGAAATAGGTCCATTTTTCATCCCCGGACTAGCTCCAACTGCCATGTCAGCTCCCTCCTCGTTACCGCCGAATCTATAAGCAGGTGGGTAGGAGTGCTGCGCACCATCGGGTCAACCAGACTCTGGTTTCCATCACGGAGATCTGTTGATAGCCATCGGGGGGCCTTGTCGACCGTCTTGGATGGCCATTGGCGGTCCGGGAGGTGGACAGGGGGAAACGGCTGGTACTTTTTGGAAGGGTCCTTGAGCCTGCAAAGAGGCACGCGAGTGGCTTTGTGAGTTCGTGTCGAACGCGTAGTTTGCACAAACTACTAGCTAGCTTCCGAAGGGCGTATAACGGCAGGTCTGCGGCGCGTCGCCAGACTTGCTTGACTCGGCTTAACTTACATGGGCATTATTGCGGTGGTTGACTGCAGTAAACAGACTTTGTGGTTTTATTTTATTGTGTCGACAAGCCCTTCCCCAGGTATGACGAAATTTGACGGGGGCGGCGTTAGAGAAAGAGGGGCACACTCGCTTGTCGTGGGGGTGTTGGTGCGCGCAAGGGGCCGTGACAGTCAACTGGTAGCCAGGAGCGAACCCAAACTGGGCCAATTGCAATTGGTCCTCAGATTTTCTTCAAACACTCTTTCGGTGCCGCGCTGATGTTGGAGAGAGCTAGAAGTCGAGAGATAAGGACGTTATTAGTATGGACAGGGATACGAATGGCACAAGGTAGGCCGAACGGCTGGGTATCTCATCTCAACGGGAGGGACTAGGTGTTGCAGCATCATCATCAGGTCGTCTGTCCCCACCAAGGACGGCACGATGGGGGGGAGACCGGCAAATCTGAGGCCATGCGTACCTTGCAGGTAAGGCGGCTCTGTAGGCCACCTGGAATTGCGCCGCGAAGGAGGGGGCAGGATAGTAGAGAGTCGGTTTGCGTCGAGCTGAAGACTCGCGAGAAAGAACTTTGGCTGTTCACCAAATTTTGGTTCACGGTTAGTGAGGGTTTCGGTCGGCATATATTGAGGAAGGAAAAACCACTGAGTCACCGCGCGCGTTACAAGGTATGCGCCCTGTAAATAACATCCATGACTAACTTTTTTCCCTATTTTCTCTCATGGGTTCGCTTTGCCTGCATCGGTCCGTCGCTCTGCGGGGCTGTTCGCGACGCGATGCGCTCACACTCGATTTGATGCATGGTTTGACAGCTGGCTCATCACCGACGTCGGCGAGAAACGACTGGACACATGCCCCAATTGCATTGCTGAAAATGGACCGTAGTTCGCAATGAGACCGCATATCCCACCAGTGCATATCGAACGAACTGTTTGCCGAGGGTAGCCGCCCTTGAACAGGAGCTGTAGTCCTGGTGAGTCCTCTAGAAGGTCAACCGTCCTGATCCGATCACCACATTCAAAAACGGCGATAGCGATTTACCGATAGAATTAGTCATAACAAGTCCAGAGAGATAAATATATACACATGAAGTAAACAAACTGCCCAACTCCCCTATTATCAACCGCTGCACCACGTACCGTCACCACGTGAATGATTCCTCCCAGAAGGTGACAGAGTGTCCCGAATCCTGCATCGAGCGCGCGGCGGCCCGCACATCATCCGACAGTGATCCTGGGCCACACACAGAGACACACATAGCTCCGACCTGCTCCGAAACCTCCTTTTCGATGAGGGTGTAAATGTCGGGACGGCCGGGGAAAAGACCGACGCTGGTGGATGGCGACATGATCTCTCGCGGGTTCTTGGGCCGCGTGACAAATAGCCTGATCTGGAGTATTTGTTTCCTGTTCGGGAGGCCCATGATGGTTTGCATCCACGGACGCACCCACTCCATGGCCTCGTACTCGCGCACGATCCAGACGAGCACGATCTTGCGCGTAGCAACCGTCCCATTGTTGTACCCATCCATCAGGTGTTGCAGGTAGCTAAGCTGGTGAGTGATGCCGGTGGCGCCCGCAAAAAGGATGACGTGGCCGAAGCTGTCGAGAGAATGGTGGCCGGCATACGGACCCTCAAATGTGGCGCGTAGCGAGAGGGGCCGCGTTCCATGCTCCAAAGTTCTGTTATACAGTTTGCGCGTGAAGCCGGTATGTGCCCCGATGACGAACGAGACCGTTGTCCGAAGGTCCTTCTTAAGCACCAGCTGCTCTCCCTTCTCCACTGTAGGGAGAACTTCCTTGATGGGCGTGTGTTCAACCCAGGCAATGGAGAACGGGTGGTTCTCCCAGGGGTTGATGCTCGCGAACCGGAGATAGGCATGGGTGCCCGGCTTGACGTCCACGTAGCGCGGGAGCTGCATGCGTACGCGGCACGCCTCGTTGGGCATCGCCTCGACGAAAGCTTCGGTGTATCCATGGCTCGAAGCGTTGCAGTACGCCGTGCGGATTGCGCGTGCGAGACGGTCAGCCATCCAAAGAATCATTATGGCAATGACCCAGGAGAGCTGCGGAAGTCCGCCAGGGATCGATGCGGTCGCGCAGTGGACCCATGTGCAGCCAACTGCCACGAAGGCGAGGATGATATGCACGTTGAGGAAGGTCTCATAGAAGGCGTGCCGGACAGGGGAAAAAGAGAGAAGAACCAGAAGCACGAACGCGAGCGTGCCAACTGCGCCCGAGGCGATGAAGTCGTCGTGCAGGATCTTATGCTGCACGCTTTCCCAGCCGCCGTCGGCCAGTTGCACGTATAGCCAGGCAACCGTGTGAATGATAGTCTCGATCACTACGGTGCGGCCGATCCAGCGGTGGATGAGGTTATACGTGTCGAAGCTGATCTGCAAAAGGCCGATCAGTGGGTTGTTACGGGCGGCGAGAAGAAGGAGCGGGACCATGTTGACGGCGGCAAGGGTTCCGGACCGTCCCCGGACTTCGGCGGCGAATGAATATCGGTTCTCGTTGGCAAAGTTGAGGACCAGCATATACGCTATGTTGCTGAAGAGGTACAGCGTCAGCAAAACAGCGTGGAGCCTGGACGGCAGGGTGCCCATGTTGAAAGCTGAGGAGAGTCGGATCTCGCGGTTATGGCGCTTTTTCCAGAGAGGCGCGTAGATGAGATGTTTCTTGAGACTTGGCATCCAACTCCACTGCGTCACCTTCCAGTAGTTCTGGCGATCGACGGCAGCTGACATGGCCGACACCTGGCGCAGTTTGGACCACGCGATCTCGCCAATCCGGACGGCAAGCACGATGAGACAGACAATACCCAAGCTCCACCATAAGGTGTCCTTGAAGAGCATGTTGACATCCTGACTCACGCCGTTCAGGCCGGTGTTGTAGGGCGAGATGGTCGAGTTCGCCTTCGGAGGGGTCGTGCCGCTGGGAGGTTCAGGTGCGCGCGGGCTCAGAGAAGGCGTGGTTTGTTGGAACGATGACGGCGACGAGAATGCTGGCGATAGGAGCATCGTGACCCCAAGGGCGACGGCCCAGCGCGGCTGGATATCCATCTCGTCTTGTCGCCTTTGTAGGTCACTTTTCTTCCTTTGGTCTTGATCAGTTCCGTAGAAGAATCCTCCCCTGTCGTTTCGTTCCCAGTGCTTGATATTGGTGCCTTCTTTGATAGTCGCAATTCTGAGGGGGGACCATCAAACAAGGTGTAGAGGTCGTGAAGTCTCTATTTGAGTAGAAGGCTGCTGCGGCGGCGACGGTTGTCAAAGGGACAATAACATCATTGTGGATGTCCGCTGTCAAACGAGAGGTGGTGGAAGGGCGTCCAGTTGGCGGCCTTGTACGAGACCAGGCGGGCACGGAACAATGAGGCGGATGGCTAAACAATATGATTGCCTGTTGATTGCCCACCGAGAGATGGGAGAACAAAGATGCCGACAGTGACAAGGAAGACCGCAATATCTAGGTATTGAGCTACTTCTTTGTTCACTAGGTGCCTTTGATCGACAAGGAGAGAAGAGACAAGAGCAGGAAGCCGAACGAGAAAAGGGCGGCCGAGCTTGGCGGACTGGTGCAGTCGAATGCTGGAGCTGACTCTGGCTCAGGCTCTGGCGACGAAGGATGTTGATATCCCCCACGTGGGGTGTGAAGCTGAGACGTCCGAGTGGCAGAAGTAACGAATGTATGACAAAGAGCGAGTTGTCTGCACGTGGAGCTGGAATGAATAAAACGACGATGGGTGCTGTGGAATGATGCGGCGTCACGCCAAGTCACCTCTGGGGGCGAGGGGCGCGTAGGTAGATGGGAGGCAGACCAGGCACGTCGGAAGTGAGTGACTGTTGCGATGATTCCTGTCACCGAAAGAGCCGCTTCCTAGTCAGGAGACTGGCCAGGATTTGAGGGTTTTCCTTGGCTGCGAAATGATAGCTTTGTGAGGATCAGCGGCCGGCTGCCGAAAGGTCGGGGGTGCTGCTGGGAAGTCCAAGCAGGGAGGAGGTAGATCGGTTTGCACTTGGCGGACCAATCCGATGGCTGGGAAGAGATTGACGATGCTCCGATTGGACGAGGTGAAAATGAGAGAGAGGACGGGGAGGAAAGAACGGAGGTGTTGAACAGAAATTCAAGGTGAGGAAGGAGTGATGTGACAGTCGTGTGCGCGCGGTACCCGGCCCGTCGCGATGGTAATATAAACTTCACAGTGCAGCGGCTCGATAATATGAGGAGTCTGAAGCAACGTCCCCGCCAAGAGAATAAAACAGGGGGGAAATTGATAAAAAGGAGCACGGAGCCGGCCAAATGGAGAGGAAAGAAAACGCAAGAGACCTGACCACAGAAACGGGTGCGACCCGAGCTGTTGGACAGAGATATATCCGTCTGCTTGGAGGCCCAAGGGGGGCGGGAGTGGCTTGAGGGGGTCGCATCCGCCCTTCCTTCTGCATTCGTCACTCGCACGAAGACAGCAAAGCCCCTCTCCGTATGGGCCCACTGGGCGGCATCGTCCTCCGCGCATGCTCGCCTCTTTTGGCTGGCTCCGGATGCAGGTGTCAGACGCAGGCCTCTGGAATGGAGGGCACCGGCATCTCGGCCTCCAGCTAACACCCCCCAAGAAGGGGACGTCCGCCTTGGACGGCACAACGGCCCCCTGAGACCGCGTCGCTGGTGGCGGGACGTGGCGCAGGAACGCTAAGCACGCGCATCCTTGAGAGCCAGTCAAAACGGCGGATTGGCTCTACGCCTTTTCACGACTGGCCAGTAGGACCGCCCGATGGCGGGACGGTCAGATCACCCCTGCAATTACCCCTCCCCACCCAGCGTCATCATAGCAGCCCAGGCGCAGGCCGGCGCATCGTATTTTGGCCAGAACGGTTAGGGGCAGCAGGGGAGAAGGGTATTCTGGGGAAATCGGATGACAGCGAGCAGCCTCTGCGTGGTTTGTGGTTCGTGGTTCATGGTTCATGGTTCTGGAACTGGGCCGAGGTGAGTCTTTTTGGCAGGTCAGGCACGAAGGATGCAAGTGATAGGCGGCGACTTTCCAGCTGAGGGGCAGGCTGGCCCCTTGTCGCATTTCAGGAGGCCGCAGACGTGGCTCAAGCACGCAAGCCGACTGGCCAGGCGTTTCGTTTCGATTGAAGCCAAGATCTGCTGTGCAGGGGTCTCAACTGGCCCCGAACTCAACACATCATCTTTGCATCGCATCGCATCCCCCCGTGCCTCCGTATCCGATTGCAGACCATCGGCGGCCACAGTCCTTTCCGTCGCCCATCCATCGCGCCACATCAGGCATGAGAATCTCAGCCAGACACACGGAGCTCACCGGGCTGGTTCCTTCACGCGATCCACACAGGATGCATTCCGGCTGCGAGTCTGCGGCGCTCTTGCCAATGCCATGACTGGAATCTTGGGCGGATCGTGAAACAAGGGCTACTCTCTTTTCTCCGCGCCATATAATAGGTGGCTTTTGCATCTTCCCGGGGCGTGGTTATCCTGCTGAGCGGGGTTGCACAGAGTAGATGGGATTAAGTGTGCATCACATAGCACCCCAGTGCTGTTTTGCTTTCTACTGAACGAAATCAAAGGGAAAAGGCAGACTGGCTGCTTTGATTGGATTCCATGTTTGGGCCTCCTGTTGTGTTGCCTATTCTTTTTTTACTGCCAGGCGGTGTGACGTATTGCCCTAGCCGTTTGGCGACCGCCCGCAGGGCTCCTGCAACGCAAAAAAGATGCTCGTCACTGAGCCGGGTAATTCCGTCCAGAGCTCCATCCAAAGCCGTGCCGAGGGACCGAGCAACTACCTACCCTGCGTTGAGGCCCATGCTCCTCGACTACCTTGCTCGTGAGAAGCTGTTTTGATATACGCCCTGCCCAGCAGTCGTTGAAAGGAAGTTTGAAGCTATAATGGGTGCCAATTCTTCAAAGGAGTCACCACACGTGTGGAAAGGGTGCGTTCCACCACCAACTCGACACCACCACCTGATCCAGCTGCTAAACATGCCAATGCCACATCCACCAGGTCCCAGCCAGCGGGTATCTCCCAGGGCGTCCTCGAATCGCTGCAGTCGAGCACCGAGGTGAGGCTGCCGCCTGCCATCATGATGCCCCCTTCCTAATCCCCCGATTTGCATACGCCGTCCTAACCCTCCTTTCGAACCGGTAACAGACGGACGCGTCCCGGGCGCAGCTCGCGGAGCTTCAGATCCAGGCCCGCGTCTCCGAGGAGCTGAGGAAGCTGCAGGCCGCCGAGGCCGCGGCGCTGCGGGAGGCCCAGGAGAAGCTGTCGGAGCCCTCGGACCAGGATGGCGGCGCCGCCGATGGGCCGAGCCGCTACACCCTCTCGCGCGAGGCCGCAGCCCTCCGGATAAGGCTGGAGGACGAGAAGAAGAAGGTCCGGAATCTACCTGACACGCTCGAGAGCGCTCGGTCCGAGGTCGTCCGCTGCCTGAGGGAAAACGACAGGCGGCCGCTGGACTGCTGGAAGGAGGTGGAGGCGTTCAAGGAGGAGGTGCGGAAGCTGGAGAAGGGCTGGGTCGAAAAGGTTGTGTCATGATGCTTGCCGTCCATGGAGAACGCGCCCGCTAGCCTCGACTGTTTTTAAAATGTACGATACTGCGCCTTCACGCGCGGCCTGGCGTACGTGAGGTTGGAGAGCATGTGCATGTTTGTTTATCCACGGTCATGCCGACACCCCCGACTCCAGGTCCGACGGTGCACCATCTGGTTCTGCCTGCTGCCGCTCCCTCTGCTGCGTCATCTCGGCCTTCTTCCGCAAGCCCTCGGCCTTCTTGCGCTCCCGCCTCGCGGCCGCATCTTCCCACACTGACCTTCCAGCTTGCTCGCCCGCCGGCCCTCTGAGCGCGGCGAGGGCCTGTCGGAACCGCTCGGTCCGCTTGCGGTTCTGCGCAAAGCGCTCGTCGGCCGTGCGGACGAGCAGCGCCAGGTACTCGGGCGAGACAATGCACTTGTTCTCTCCCCCGACCTGCATGCCTATGATGGATTCGAACCCCAGACCCATGGACCGAATGGCCACCATGGGCGTGACTTGGCCCTGGGCCGTCGTCAGGTTTATGGCCCCCGACTCTCGGAACCCAGCCTCCAGCCCGCAGCGCAGGACCGACTGGGCATCTTCCGGGGACGCGGTCAGGACGTGCAGGATCTGGTGCGGGGAAGATATCAGCACCATTATTTGCCCAGCGCTTGGGAAGGGATATGGCACGACAACTGTGTACCGTAATATGTCCCAGGGATTGCGCTGTAGTCGTAGGACATGTCTGTGACGTACCATGGGTTCGAACTTGAAATGGATGAGCCTCTTAGGGCCAGAGCCATCAGCATTGCCAGGAGCCACGGGACCTGTTGGGCCAGCCATGTGGGGGTCCCCGAACAACAGGGAAGCCCAGGAGCGGTGCTCGCCCGCACCAGCATCGAATGGGTCATGCGACACGTATAGCCAGTGGCCGCCGCCGCCCTTGCCGCCAACCTCGCCGGCGACCTGTGACGGTTGAGGGCCTTCAGGACCCCCGGGCGCCGTCCCGTCGGGGGCGTCCTGCGTTGGCAGAACCTTGTGGCCCTCGAGGAAGACGCTGGCCCGCCCGGCGCATGAGCTGGTCGTCACGATGCCCGGATGGCAGTTTATCTCGGAAATCAGCTCCCGGACCCCTTCGTCCACAGATCCCTTGGGGGACGCATCCGTATAGGTTGAGTCGGGGACTTCGAGATCCGAGAGTATCCTGGCTTTCCTTTGGAGAAATTTGCTCGACGTCATCTCTGTGGGCTTCGCTTTTGCCCGACGGGAGGTCTGTATGAACCTCGAGGGAAAATGGCAGTAAAGTCGACGTGGAACTTCTAGCCTAACCCTGGGCATGAACAAGGCGTTAGCTCTTTAGCAGCAGCATGGGCGATATCAGTGGTGTTCCGTTTCTGTCTGTTGGCCCATGGAGACCTGTCAGTGCTACCCGTCGGTGTTCAAAACTGAGTTGATGTTCGGAATGTGACCCCGCCTACAAAGTTCATGCCAATTCGAGTGACCTCAGCTGCACCATTGCAATAGTGACACATACAAATTCACTATTTTCAGAAATAGACTGAGACTCAGACACACACAGGCAAAGGCATTTTCCCATTTGGTTGGGCTTGACCCCGCTTCGGCATTATGCATTAGTCTAAATAATGGGATATCGAAGAAAAAAAAGGACAAAATGCAAGATCTGCCAGCCTCCAAATATGCCAGAGGATGGTGGCGGTCTTGCTGTGCCTGTGCCGCATCTGTATATATTTGGACAAGTCTGAATTCAGACGATAAAATGGAGAAGAAAGGCCCCTGGGGGTATCGAAGCCGTGCTGGAACATCAACCAGTTCACCAACCATCGCCCACCATTGGGGGGAAGGAACCAGAGACCAGTGGTAGTGAAGGATAAGTGCATATGCCAAAAACCCAAAATAGGGGTCACAAGAAAGCTTGATAAACATGTCAAAACACGGCTGTTATGATGCTGGTACCGAATTGCGGGAAGCTGGCCCTTGGAAGCCAGACGTCGCGGGGTTGACGTCTTGCATCTCCATTCCCTCCTTGGACTCGGCCACCATCTCGGATCGTTTCCGGGCAGCCAACCGCTGGTCACCCTCTACACGCTTTTCCTTGAAGCGATAGTAGGTTGGGGGCCTTGGTCGGCAGAGCACGACGATCCAGTTCCGGATCCAACTGCCTTGGGTGAAGGCGCGGTAGCGGTCCTTCTTCATGAACTTGTGCGAGTTCAAAAACTCGCGCGTGGTCTCGCCACGCGCCATCAAAAAGACGTGGTACAACATCAAGGCTGCCGGATAGAGGAACCCAATGAAGCCGTAGATTACCAGAGCGAAAGGAACCCTAAAGTGATCAATAGCTTGGCCGAAGGAGACGCCCTCTCTCCCCATGTATACCAGGATCTGGGTCAGGGACGCCCCCATGAGATAGCCGGCGAGCAGCGTGGTGGACGTGACGAATGCGAAGAAATATCGATAGTTGCGGCGTCCAACGCAGTTGTTGAGCCACACGCAGTGGTGGTCAGCCGTTTCTATGCAATTGTCGCACAGGCGGCAGTGGTGGGTACGGGGCGGCCTCCAGATATTGCACGTCTTGCAGTACTTGGTTGGCACCTCCATCGCGGCCGTTGACGTCTCGGCTGACCGGATGAGCGTCCAGTCGGTGGTTGGTGGCCCGAGGCGTAGGGGGTCCTCGTTCTCATCGGGAGGGGGAAATTGGTGGAGATTGCGCGGGAGAATCTTTGCGGTTGTCGTGACTATGTTAGGACAAGCAGGAGGGGGGCGACTGGCAGCAATATCGGAGATGGACTTACCCCGGGATCAGATGAAGACGCATGAATGAACGACGAGACACAAAGAAAGAAGATATAGGCAAACATGGTAGGCACCGCGGGGTGGACATTGTCCCAGAGCCATGGGGCGCAAAAGGCGAAGAAGAGAATGGAGGGCACGACGACGAGAGAGCCTGTGGCTAAGTTCACCGGCTGCGAACGCGTATTCTGCAGCCTACCGCCAAGGCAGAAGACGGTGTTCCCTTCGAAATACTCGAAGTTGCGACCAATGGCAGCAGCGATCTTGTCCGCGCCAGACTGGGCATTGGGGTCAACAGGAGCCGACGGGGTAAATTGCGGCGATGAAGCCCCGGACTCGAGCTTCTCGCCACCTTGCATGCTCCTGTTCGCGCCGCTCTGTGAGCCGTCGTTCCTCGCAGGGAGTAGGAAACTCGAGCGAAACGACCGGGGAGTCCTGACTGGCGTAGGCAGACCATTGCCCGGCTTGAAGTTCTTGTCCACCCGAACTGTGAGGCCACCAGCATTGTCTCGGCCTTCGCTGGGCATTCCCTGTAGCGGGCGCACACTCTCCGACAAGCTCCCAGTCGGATAGTGACCATATGTGGGGCTAGTATTCGCCGTGATGCGATCGTAGGTGCCAGGTTCTGTGAACTCGGTCCCTCTAGATGGCGGTGGCCGAGCGTAGGCGTCGTCGGCTGGCTGGGGGTGCTCGAGGCGGGCGATCACTTGGGAGTTTGTTATGTCCGAGGTGATGCTGCGACGGGACATGGCGTGCGCGCCATCATGTATATCGTCTTCTACGCGGCTGTTGCGGGCGAGAGCGGACGGACGAGTTGCTCCACGCTGGGCCTGCAGCTTTTGGGAACTCATTGGTCGGAAGAAAGCGTGCGAGGTCAGAGACGGAACGTGGCTCCGGCTGACGGATCCAGGTCGCCCTACTAAAGAGCCCGCTGTGCTGCTGGCGGTAACGCTGCCACGCTTCGCCGTCAAGGCCTGGCGTAAAGGCATACTGTGACTTTGGGCGCGTGAGGATGCTCCAGTCCTCGCTGTCCCCGGTCGCGACGCGGCATCTGAGGCAATATGGCTGCGTCGGTTCCCCGGGGCCTGCTGGGGCTCGCCGTCCATGCCATCGTCAGAAGCGATGTCCGTCATACGCGACGATATTATGCTGGGTGGCCCAGCCATCTTGGATCAAATGAGATCGGCTCGATCTCAGGAAGGGATGGCGACACGCTGTGTGTCGGACAGGAAAGGTCAACGGTTCGCTTCGTCCGGCTGAGGTCTCGACGGTGTCGACGCCGACGCTGTCGGGATATCGGCGAGCTGTTTGGTCGATCTTGTTTTGCAAACAATTTTCTCGCGCATAGCGCGGAAGTGGATATATATCGCTTGTGAGGACCCGTCGAAATACGTATCGTCACTGGGCACTGTTTGGTATGGCAACAGCGCCTGTTGGTGATCAAGCACAGCCCTGTCCCTATGCCGGTCGCGGCTGAACTTGAGCGGTGCGTGGTGTGCGGTCGTGTCAATAGCTACATCCAGGAGCTTTCGACGTATGGAGCGAGGCACCGGGCAATTCGGGCCGAGCTCATGTCAATCGTGTCAAGGATCGTCGGGCGGGAGTCGTCACGCCTGGTGGTGAAAAGCGTGTTAGGGGGCCCGAGGGGAAAGGGAGTCGTCGGAATAGAAATTAAGGAACTGATGCCGTGAATTGAGGCTAAGGAGCGTGCGAAAATAAGAAAGAGGGCGCTGCGTTGAGGTCAAACAACAACAGCCAGTCTGATGAGGGCTGCCTGTTTCTGTGTGGGAATCCCGACGTTCGTTGTTGGACTTGGCTCATTTCGCGGAGTGCGAAATGCATGAAGGCCAGGGTCATGCCAGGGGGCGCGCCCACGTTATCGGCCACGGCTGGTGGTGCTAGGTTGCTGCAGCATGCACGGCCGGCTCAGCTCTGTGTTGGATGCACGGGCCACATGTTGCATCATGCACTCGGAACATCCATGTAGCTTAGCTACATGACTAAAGTTACGGCCCCTGGGGCGCGTCCATGCAACAATCGGGGCCTCCAGAGCCCATGCGAGTATTATCGCAATAACGGGGCCTGACCACCTGCCCCCACTGTTAGGCTCGGCAGCCACTGGCCCAGGCATTGGGGGCCGCAATCGTCAATCGTACGAGCAAACGCAGCTTTGCCTTTGGCACTTCCTAACGCGCCTCGTAGATCCAATCGACCTTTCCGCTCCCCGAAATCGCCGCCGCGACCCGAAAGCCGGCCAATTGACCTAGCCTACCACAGTCGAGATGGCGTCCATCATCGCCCGGAGAGCGTTCACCACGACAGCGCGCAGGCTCGAGGCCGCCGCCCAGCCGGAGCTGAAGAAGGCGGGAAAGAAGGACCCGGAGCTGATTGTGCGTACCAGCCTTCAGACAGGCCGACTGAACGCAGGGTGTTGGTGTCATGCGCACCGGCCTGGTTGTGCCCCGTCTCGAAACTACGGAGCCGACGACTAACCTGCTGCACCTGGGGCGTATGTACAGATCCTCGGCGGTATCATGGTGGCTGCTTTTGGCGGTGCCGGCCTTTACTTTGGTGAGATGGTGTCTCGCATCTGGTAGAAGCGATGCGGCCCCTTGTTCAGCGAGCTGACAGCTGCGGTGCTGTTACGCCAGGCCGATCTCCCACCACTTCCACGTCGGAGAAGACAGTCCCAATGGCCGGCATGCCTTGGGAAACAGGCGCGGAGTCTGGAAAGTACCGCTACCACCCCGGAGGGGACTCTAGCGCTGCTCCCAAGGATGCTCCCAGTGCCGTCAACGTTGTGGTTGTGCCCAACGTCAACCTTCCCAAGGTAAGGCGGCAGTTGCAAGATATCCCGTATCTATCCTGTTACATGCGCAGTCCTGTTGACTACTTGCTCGTTTTTTCTCCCTCGCTCCAGGAACTGCACGATAAGTACAACAAGTGGGGCAAAGAGGGATACTAGATCATGATGCTTTGGGATAACCTCGTGCTGCTTGTCCAGCTTGGGTCATGAGGAACGGAGGCGAATACGAGGAAGACCCAGGGCTTCGACAGCCTGCATATACTAATATGGAGCGGATTCAGTCCTTGTGGGTGACCTTGTCTTCCACGCCGGGTGGCGCGTGTTGATCTTGTAAGCCTGGATGTGCATATCTGGTCGCCTTTTTTTTTTCGTTCTCAGTGAAAGGAGAGCGTTCATAACTGCGCCTTGGTAACAACCGAAACGATGACGTTCTTCGAGAGCAACAGGCAAAAAGCGCTTGGTTTGTGACGGCCCACCCAGAAGCTACACCTTGTGAGCTAGCCTCCACAAGCTCAATCTGCAATGCTAGCAATGGCAAGCGCCATATGAGAGGACGATGGCCGCCAATAGGTGTGTACTCTCGTCCGACGGACGTATGGGCACAAATAGACGGCCTAGCGCGCACAAAAGCTCAACATGGGACCTTGGATATCTTTCTTCTATAGTTGCGATATGTTGGCCAGTGCGAAAGTCTGAGGCAGTCCTAGTTGCGTTGGTGTGTTGAAGTAAAGAGGGGTACTTTGGATTACCAAACAATACCACTGGAGTCAGTATCCCCACTGATCCACCACGTGAGAGAGGCCCGTGATCTCGACGCTGACAGTCGCCCAACGTTAACACAAGACCAACCAGGCTGTAAGAAAAGAATAATCATCGGACTGCCTGCCATTCCCGTACCAGCATTGACGGCTAGTTGTCTCGCCACCTTGAGATGTCTCCACATCCGAACGAGAAGGCACGACCTCTCTCTTTCATCGACGTAGCAAAAAGGCGAGGAAGGGTGTCGTCACATCCACTAGAATATCAATACGGGATATATACTCATTCATTCATATCGATTGCGCCTGGCTACTGAAATATGCAATGCCATACCCATGCTACCAAACGCCAGGAATCCTCCAACAAGGCGACGATGCGATGACGCCCGTAAGGATGCACAAACCCCCCACACTCGCTCATGAAGCAAAGACAAGACTAAAGAAAGCAACCCTATTACTGAGCTCGAGTCCAGGGCCACCGACGGTGAGCACCACTAGAGTTCTGTTTCCCCCCTTCCGCAGCGACGTCATCCTGCCAGTTTGGCTTGTTTTCTTTCTTTTTCTTTTTCTTTTTTCTCTTTTCTTCTTCCTCGGGCCGACCGCTGGTCAGTCCCTTCAAGGATCAGGCCAAGTTGGCGACTGGTACGGGAGCGACGGCCACAGCCTGCTTCTTGGCCTCCTCGGCAAGCTTTGCCTGGCGGTCGGCCTCCTCGAGGAACTGGGCGTACCGGGACTTCTTGTTGTGGATACCGCACTCGGTCTTGGCCTGGCCCTTCCACCTGCCGGCGCGCTCGTCCTCGCCCGCGGCCACGGGGCTGGTCGAGTGCCAGTCGCCGACCGACTTGTACCCCCTGTCGAGCAGCTCGTTGTAGGGCACGTCGTTGTCCTTGATGTACTGCTGCACCTGCTGGAACGACCAGGCCACGAGCGGGTTGATCTTGACGACCCCGGTCTCGTCATCCACCTCGATGACGGGGATGGCGTTGCGCTGCCCGCCCTGCGACCGCCGGCGGCCCGTCAGGACGGCGGCCACGCGCAGCTCCGAGTACGACCGCTGCTGCGGCTCGACCTTGGCGACCCAGTCGTACCACTCGGAGCTCAGCTCGTACAGCTGCGCGCCGTACTTGGCCTCGAACTCGGCGACTGTCTCGCAGCCGGCCGGCCGGAAGGTGTGGACCTTGAGGTTGGAGTAGCGCGCGCTGACCTTCTCGACTAGCCTGTACGTCTCCTCAAAGTGGTACAGGGTGTCGAGGAAGATCAGGTCCACGGGGCGCGACGACCCTGGGGCCTCCTTCTCGATCTTGGACAGCATGTCCATGGTCGCCAGGCCAGTCAGGCCAAATGCGGTCGTCTGGTACAGGTTGGGGAACAGGGTGCGGCAAAAGCGGAGGATGTCCATGGGGTGCATCTTCTCCAGCTGGTCGTTGAGATGCCTCAGGTGGAAAGATGTGAGGGATATCTGTGGCAGGGATGGGGTGGATGAGGTGGCCGAGCCGTATCCTGACTCGACGTCAGCGGCATCTTCGCTCTTGCTGTCCAGAGGCTGGAGCCTCGGCGATGACTCCAGTGACGATGTCTGCGTCATGGTGATAGGAGACATGATGACCTGTTGGCTCAAGTGAATATCGGTTCGGGAATGTGGTTGTCAAGTGCTGAAGGCCAAGGATGTGGTTTCGCTGCCCCGTTGGAGCTCACAGAGATGTCTCCCTGGACAACGATGGAACTGGCAGGGAAAGGGGTTGACGGGGAGTCTAGGCGTATTAGTGACCCAGGCCGGAGGGCAAATGGGGTTGTGGTGGTGTATAGTTGGCGAGGTTAGAACTGGAGGATGAGAAGGGAGAGTTTAGTTCCTTGGGCAGAAACAGGAGCAGCTTTGTAGAGGATGGGACAGGGCGCATGGGTAGGGTGTAAGTTTCGGGGTTGACGAGGTAGGTGGGCTTGGTGGGTTTGTAATGGCGATCCATCGATGATGGACCGGCGCCTGGTGAACGGCCACGCAACTGGAGCGGCCGATGCAGTCCAGATGCCCCAGAGCCGGAGGAGGGCGGGACTCGCGGCCAACACCCTGGTCTGCCACGCAGCGGAGTCTCTACAGGGCTACCTACTGGCAGAGAAGCAGATGGACGTGGGTTGGTAATCCAACACTGTTTCGCAACGGCACGAGCTCATATTACACTCGGAGCCTACCTACATGGTTTGGTCGGCCTCTCAGTCCTATGTCATAAATATCTACGGGCGCCGTCATCAGCCGCCTGGTTCAGCACGAGCTGGCTGACAGACTACGTGATGGGGCGGCCCTAGCACTCATCATGGATGACGGGATGGCACAGCCGCGGCGAGAACTCGCGGTCTGAATCGGAGGCATACGGGGAGACGGCGGCGAGCAAAATGCCCAGGGGCTAGGCCTGTCCAGCAATCTCGTACCTGGTGGATAGGGCATTCTGCAGGCGAAGTGACCGTAAAAGAATAACTAGACAGACAAAAAAAAAGCACGCAATACCGAACTAAGACGAGACGACCTCACAATAGAAGCCGTTGATCACGACATTGGGTCTTTGTTGGCAAGTATGACTCCCCATTGGCTGGGGACAAGGGGCTCGGCCCAGAATGGTAACAAGGCGTAGAGTCTGAATCGGCATGGCGAAGGCGGGTGCGGATATCGGGTGGCTGTCGGTGGCACGGTGGGTTCTTTTTTTTGTCCCCAGCCTCCAGCCACCCTGTTGGATCTCCCTTGCGCGACCTGGTTTCAGCAAAGATGGAGCCTCGGCTGACAAAGCCCGAGCCCATCACCATGCATGCCCGCTGACAAGTTCGCTTCGCAATAATGAACGTCGCCAAGTGGTTAATGTATCTATCTCGGGCCCGATCTCCGGCGATAGTGAGATCCAACCAAGCGTCTCGTCCTCTGCTACTGCATGTGGATCTTCTCGGCATTGAGTTGGGCTCAGTTGGATAGGGACGCTCCAGACAAGAGCGAATAGGTCGAGACAGACAAGACAGGGCCGGGTCGCAGCGACTCGTTCAGCCTGTCTGATGCGCCTCGTACCAAGTTCCATCCCGTGTGCGGGACCTGTGTGTCTATCTGGATCTACCTAAGCGCTCCTGTCAGATAACCAGATCGATGGGACATCAATGCAATTAATTGCCCAAGGTTTGGCGGCACGGCGGGTGCGACAGAAACCCAGCCTAGCCAACCACTGCCTCATGCCGTGGAATGCATGACGTACCCTAGGCGCCAGCGGTCCAATCGACGGCCGTCTGACCGCTCGCGGACCCCCATCTTCCCCTCCCATCCACCATCTCTATCTCCCTCGCACATCAACAGAGCCGCGTCGGGCAACCCGCTACCAGGCAGAGGCAGAGGCAGAGGCACAGGCATAACCCGTCAGGCGCCCCAGACAACCCGTCCTAGTTACCTCGCTGCCAGCGCCGCCGCCGGGACTCTGCGACGCGACGCACGGGCGCGCACAAGGATCGGACCCCTGAGCAGGTTTGCCGCCCGCCGCCGCCATGGAAGGCGTCACGGCCGCCGCGGCGCCCCGCGCCGGGCCGCCTCGCCCGCAGCTGTCGCCTAGCATGCGCAGCAACTCGTACCTGAGTGAGCACCAGCAGTACAGGCCTCCGGGGAAGCCCGAGAACCACTACGGCATCGACACCGTCGTCGAGGACCTGGGCGGCCGCTCCCCGCCCAAGTCGTCGTTGCCCTCGCGGCCCAGGCCCGTCTCCGTCTCGCCCCCGGCATCGTTCAACGGAGTCCCGTCGCCCACTCACCCGCCGCGCGTGGTCGAGAGCGGCCTCAATCACGAGCTGTCGCACCCCAACTGTGCGCCCAATAAGGGCTCCTCCACGGCCCGCCTCGTGGCTACCCTTATTTATAGGTCCCCTGCCTCTCGCCCCCACCCTCACCACCATGGGCAGGCCCCCGCTTCGGCCTCACCTGCCCCCCGGCCCTCCTCTCCAACCGCCGCGTCCTCCGCTGAGGAGCCATCGGAGATCCCGCCCAACATGGCACCCACTACAGACCCGGCCGCGTTCCCGCTGGAGCCACCCACAGCCGACGAGACGCTGGATCGGCTCTACGGCTCGTACGTGTCGCCGCTCTGTGTTGCCGCATTCCTGCACCTAATGTCCACCTTCCCTCTGCCACCCGGATCGACCGATTTCGCCAGCGCCCACCGCTGCCTCGACAGCCAGGAGCACCCCCACGTCGTCGAGCTGACTCTCAACCCGGCGCCCTCGCCCAGCTACCTCGGGCTCGGCGACCTGCGCAAACACGAGCTCATCTACCGCTTTGAGCGCGAGTGGAACGTCGACGTCGTGCTGCAGATGGACACGGTCTGGCGCCGCCACCCCCGCCTCGTGGTCTTCGACATGGACAGTACCCTAATTACACAGGAGGTCATCGACCTGCTCGCCGCCACGGTCAAGGACCCGCCCGACCTGGCCGCCCGCGTCGCCGGCATCACTCACCGTGCCATGCTGGGCGAGCTCGAGTTCGGCGCCGCATTCCGCGAACGCGTCTCTCTGCTACGCGGTCTGCCCGCCACCCTATTTGACGACCTGCGCCCCATCCTCGACGTCACCCAGGGCGTCCCTGCCCTCGTCCGCGCCCTAAAACGCCTGGGCGTCCGCACCGCCGTTCTGAGTGGCGGCTTCCTCCCGCTGACCTCGTGGCTGGCCCGCGACCTAGGCATCGACCACGCCCACGCCAACGAGGTCCACGTCGACGACTCCGGTAGGCTCACCGGCGAGGTCAAGGGACTGATAGTCGGCAAGGAGCGGAAACGGGATCTGCTCCTGGAGATCGCCCGCAGCGAAGGCATTGCCCCTGAGCAGGTCGTTGCCGTGGGCGACGGAGCTAATGATCTGCTCATGATGGAGGCCGCCGGGCTCGGCGTCGCCTGGAACGCTAAGCCGCGTGTCCAGATGGAGGCCGACGCCAGGCTCAACAGCCAGAGTCTGCTGGATATGCTTTATCTATTTGGCTTCACAAGCGAGGAGATTGCGCTGCTGTCTTGATGCAGCCACATGACCATGCACTTGGGGGAACGGGCGACCTGTGTTGGATGTCTCGAGAAACAGTTGGCACCTAATGCGCGTCCGCCATAAGCAAGGCATTGCGGTCAGACGGCAAGTAAAGTGATGAAGAGCATAGTTGTGTGAGTGCCCAGAACGCACGCCACCGCAGTTGGATGCAAGGGAAACGTCGTGCCAAGAATGCAACGCAACATGTAAAATTAAAAGCAACGAATCCGAGCCTCATCTACCTAGAGCTAAGAGTAACCGTAGAGTAAACGTAGAGCAACCTGTGTGAGTACCTAGCATCGCAACCAAATCCCCTTCCCAAATGACAAAACAACGCCGAAAATAAAACCCCAGAACGCCAAGGCAGAGAACCAGACAACCTAACCTGTCCTCCTTTTTTGCTCCCGTTTTCCGGCCGAATTCTCCCCGCTTCCTGTGTTGGCGTATCAGACGCCGTGAAACACAAGAGATGAAGAATGCGTGGGTGGCATATCCTGAGCCAGGGCCGCCCAATTCCATGAAAACCAGGAGGAGACCCAGACAATGAAAACCAGAACAGGGCTCAAGTAGAGCCACCCAAGGAATGAGACCAGACGGAGATCCTGAGGGAAGGAGCCCGCGCATGAAAACCAATGTGGGCTTCGAACCAAGGATCCCGTGCAATGAAACCCCCAGATAGAAATATCAAAGAAGACGCCCATACCATAAGCATCAGAAGACCATTGCAATCAAGAGTTCCACCTCATGAGAACCAGGTAGAATGTAGGAGCTCCGAGGAAGGCACCTGCGCATGAAAACCAATGCAGGTTCCTAACCAAGGGTTCCGCGAAATCAAGCCCAAGCAGGAGTTTCAAGAAAGTCACCCGCTCCGTGTCAGAAAACCAGGAGCAGGCTTTTAGTCAAGGCGCCCACACTGTGTGCGCCGATCTTGAGGGAACAGATCCAATGGGACAAGGCAACAACAACAAACAATCACATCGCATCGAACATATGGGGAGTCGGGGCCATAAGATAGCGGGAAAAGACAAGAGACAAACCGAAGCCTATGCCAGGAACTGGCACACATCAAGCATAGAGAGATGGCGCCGTGGATGCTGCACACTTAGGCCGCGTCCGTATCGCCGCGGGTCTGGTCTTGGTTGCCCGTAGTCGCACGGTGAGTTCGGGTCGGGGTGTCGAGGTCGCCGCTCGAATTCTCCTGGTCCAAGAACCCAGCGACATTAGGGGCGCCGTAGGTGGTATAGAAGGACGACATCGCTCCGGCGATTGGATTCTGGACAAAAGGGAAGCTAGGCCAGATGGGACTGTAATATGCTGCAGCATACGGGTTAAACGACTCCGGCGACTGTGGGGTGACGGGGGCAGTTGGGTGACCGATCTGGGTTCCGTATGAGGTACCTGGACCACCGATGAAGGCCTGGCTGTTGAGGGCGAGCTGCGTCGGCGATTGGCCGGGATGCATCCAGTTCCAAGCGGGTGAGACGGGATGTCCCAGAGCTGGGGAGACGGACTGCGCCAGAGCTGGGGAAGGCTGCGCCAAAGCTGGGGCTGGCTGTCCGTCAGGTGCATTACGCTGGTTGAGCCTATCCACGCTGGGCTGAGCCCGGGGGGTAGCAGGCGCGAAGTTGTCGCCCATCTTGTCAAGCGACCGGGTCTGGGACAGATACTGGGAGCGAACCCGGTGGGGGGTCTGCTCTCGGCCAACCTTACGCTCAACGCGAATGTGACAACCTCGGAAGTAGTGATCGTGCTAAGAACAAACGGTTACATCTAGCTCTAATAACGGTACCGGGAGGGAGTGTGTCAACTCACGAGTTGCGAGACTGCAATCTCGGGCGTATCCGCGCGGTCAAACTCGACAAATGCGAAAGCACGAGTACCGAAGCTGTTCGTCTTCTTGATAAGCTGCACCTTGTTGACCTTGCCGATAATGGAGCATAGTTCCATGACTGCATCCTCCTCGATGTGGACGGGCAGATTGCCCACGAAGATGGAGCGGCGATCGATGTCATACTGATTAAGGAAGGCCTCATCTGCGTCGGTGCGACGAGGGAGACCCCTGCGCGAGTCGAAAGCGTCGACACAGTAAATGTCGTTGTTGCGGAAAGCCTAAGCACATTCCGCTCCAATTAGCAAGCTAAAAGCTACTAGAGTTCGTGACGATGTGAGGCCATCACGTACCGAATGAAGATCACGCGTGAGATCGAACGTGGAGAACTCCACGATGACGGCTGCATCCACACCGAGCTCCTTCTGGAGCGAAGGCGAGTAGTCGGCACGGACCAAGGCACCGTATGGTTCGAGAACCGACTTGGCCTCTTCAAGTGTGATTGGTCCTCCACGGTGGCGATAGATGAAGAAGGCTCCTGGACTATGTCAGTAAACGTGTGACGACTGCTCTGCCCCAACGTGACCTGACTTACGGTTTGCCTTGACCATCTCGGTGCGGCACGGGCGTCCGAGAATCATGGCACCCTTGGCTAGCTCCATGGCCATCTTTGCATCGGCATTATTCTGCCGAATACACCTGAGAGTCAGCAAGGGTCGATAGAGTTGACCGAAATGAAGGGTCAAGGACTTACCGTGTACTGGCAGAACGCGAAGGGCATGTTGTGAGGGTCCCGGCGGATCTTGATGAACACGGTGCCAAACTTGCTGAACTCGCGAGTAACAGCTGCCTCGAGGGCTCGGTCTTCCTTGGGCTCAGGCAGACTTTGTATGAGCAGTTAGCGTCACGTCACTGGAAACAAGGAGACGAAGGTTGAGGGATGTGGACATACTTGGCAACAAAGACGCAAGCCGTCGGCGGATAGATACCCTGGGCATCGACGCCGCCGACTTGGTGTCGGCCACTGATGTTCGAAGACCGGTTCCGGAGCAAGTGGGCCGGCGAGCCAAGGCTACCGCTACCATGCATGGCCATATCACGTCGAATGACGGTGACGGGGCTATTGTCTTGCTGGTCCCTCGAGAGGCGGGTGGGTGAACCAAGGCCCTCGCCAGTACCGTGAACAATTTCATCACGCTGGACGATCGCAAGGCGGCTATTGCCCAAACGACCACCGGAGAGCTGGCCGGGCTCGGACAAGAACACGTCACCAGACGGCCTCTCACCGAGCTCAAAGCGAGGCCGAGAGCCATCCTCGACATTGCGCGGCTCGGTGACAAGCGGCCTCGTGGTGAACATGGCCTGACTGCCACTGGACGCGTGATCAATGATCTCAGAGTGCCTGGAAGGAGATGTCAGACTCAAGTTGAATGAACAGAGAGCAGACGCCAAGTAGATGGAATAGAGTAGCAAGGGGAGGCCCACCTGGACTCAACACGGTCGGAAGAGTCGTTGAGGCTGAGAGCGCTTAGGCGCACACCACCATCCTCATTATCGGTGGAAGATCCGATGCTGGAAACGCGAGCGTGATTGCGATGCGTCATGGCTGGAAGATCCGGAGCACTTCCCTGCCGGTTGCGTGCGACCCAGCGGGCGACAAAGCCGTCGTCGTCTCCGTCAGATGCAGTCATGGTTGCAAGATGGAGTAGATAGGTTAGAGGATGGGAAAGGATCGAGATGGTGGCAATGTGGTATGGAAAAAGTGACAGGGTAAGGCGCGCACGCAAGCCGCGGAACACGACAAGCTTGATAGGGCTTGGTACAATGGTAAAGATGAGAACAGAGAGAGATCGCGCAAGGTCGTCCCCCAGGCGATACTCGCTCAGGAAGTGCTGACTGGGGCTGCAGGATCTTGTTCGAACCCACGAAACGGAACGCCCTGATGGCGAGTAGGAAGATGAGAAGGTAGTGTTGAGGAGAGGTGATCGGCGTGTGTAGAAGATGCTGGGTATGTCTTGAGTATCGAACGCGCTCGCCTTTCCGCCCACAGTGACGCACTGTTGGCGTTGAGGTGGTTGAACAGGAGATGGTTAAGGGAGATATGCGGAGGAGGAGAGTCGAGGAGGGCAGGCAGGATTTTTCCGCAGATATGGCATTTGCAGGGCGGGCCAAAGGGACAAAGGCCCCACCCTGTTCCGGGGGCCTAGCCCTATTCTTACTGCAAACACGTCTGCAGGAAGGAGCGCCCGTGTTATTGACGCTTGGGGTGGCACCTGCCTTCGCATCTCTGTTCCCGGATATGTGGGTTTTTCGGTTGAGGGGACAACATAGGGGGCGGGAGTCCAGCTTGGCCATGCCATAATCTTTGACACCCCACGGTTAAAATACCATTATTGCTATCATCTTCCCTGACTACGATGTTGGCAAAAGGCGATGGTTCCTAGTGCTGCATGCGAGGCACGTCCGCGAACATGGCCAATAAAGCCACTATCAATGTCAGTTTATGGCCCCAGGGGCTATATGTGTACTACTGTAGCGGGACTTTTAATGTCAAGAAAGCTATCACTAAGAAACTGGCTCGCGGAATTTTAGCTGGTGGGCCTAGCAGGGCTTCGGGAAGCACCTATAGGGATAGCACGCTATGATGGGAAACTGAACACAGAGTCGTCCACGTTCTCAACTTTGCAAGCAGCCCTGATAGACGAAGTCCTTATCACTTCATTTCTGGCATCAGATCCACAGAGACGAGCTTAGTAGTAGCATACGAGACTGTAATATGAATTGAAAGGCGAGCATGCGAACATCTGTGGCTGGGGAGGATGGCTAATGGCCGATATATGCTGTGTTACTTTTAAGAAATGCCACGATTATCCTTTTGCGAACAGCACAGTTCTCAAGCAGCCCTATGTCCAGTGAGAGAAATGCCGTAACATCCAAAGCAGACTACGATCGCGAGTTTCCAACGGCGATTTATGGCAGCTCGTTCTGCTGCTTCAGTGTAAGAACGACATGACGTTGGGCTGCTGACTAAAATCTTGCCGCTGAGCACACCTCCACATAGCGACCCACCCTGAGCCTCACGGAGCACGCTTGAGGTGCGGGTCGAGACATCAAAAAGCCTGGTGTCTGCTCCCGAGGAGACAATCCCAGTGTGCCTCCACCAGCCCCCCATCTTCTCCTGACTACCATCTAGCCAGAGACCGGAGAGCACACCCAAAAAGAAACGAAAAACACCGGTCTAAAGTACAAACCGCATCCTACATCCTGCATGCGAATACTTCCAAGTTCCAGGGGTGCCTAAGGTCGCGCCCAAGAGTCCATACGAACCAGGGAACATCCACTCAGCGGGCTCTCGATTTGACGCAATATGCAGCTTGCAAACTGAGCCAATTGGCTCCGGATCAACATAAACCCAGCTCCTCGAGATGCACGCTACCACCTGTCTTCGTCGAGGCTTTTGGGGCCGAAGCGTTGAGGAGTTCAAGAGGCTTTCTCACATCGGTACGCTCACCGGAAGGAGGTTGGCGCTGCACAGAGTCTCGAGGGGCGTGCATGAGCTTGCTAACATTCTTGACACAGCGCTCAGGTCCGAGGGAATAAAAGGGCCATCTGGTCCCTATGAGCTGCACTCATTCCACGACCGGGAATCGGTCACACGCTGCAAGACCATGTCAGATGTTGACATTGGGGGGTTCTCCAAGTCACACCTGGACTGGGTGAGCTCCCAGACAGCATCAGCTCCAGGCCCACCGAACACCGCTTCCGCTCCCGCCACATACGCCAGGTTCCACGGCCTCATATCCACAGAACTGCCCACTGGCAGGCCAGATATACAGCGGTCGGGTTATGCCGCCTGGAGGACATTGGACCAGCCGCGCACATTGTTTGGGAAAAGCTTGTGGAATATCGACTCGTACGCCTATCTCGCCATGCGCGTCAAGTCGGATGGCAGGAGCTACTTTGTCAACGTCCAGACAGAGTCGCTCGTGCCGACCGATTTGCACCAACATCGGCTCTTCTCCAAGACGCCCGGCTCGTGGGAAACAATTCTCATCAGGTGGAGCGACTTTGTCAGGACGAACCAAGGCTTTGTCGTCGAACCACAGGCAGAGATCCTTAGGCAAAAGGTGCGGTCAGTCGGTGTCGGCCTGACAGACCGGGTGCCTGGACCGTTCGAGCTATGCATAGAGAGGATATGGACCACCAATGATGAGCGCGAGGCCGACGATGACAGTTTTTGGCCTACCAGAGAAGGCGGGCTGAGGAACAAACAAGGGGAGACGGTTAGGTGGCGAGGCGCGGCCACCAGGTGACGCTAGTGTGGAGAGCCCCCTGAAGTATGTGTGGTGAACCTACCATATGTACTATCATAAATGCAGCCATTGCCTGTCCTGAGGGTTGGTACAGTCGAAGCGCTGGACTACACAGACAAGGAAGCTCTAGTTTGGAATTAACAGGAGCGCATCCCAATTGTCCACCTGCGCTACTTTCATTGTGACTCTCTTACGATATCTCTGGTAGGAGCAGCACACCGCCGCCCTAGTCCGAATGTGCCACGTCCTCGGGATACAAGATGGCAGCCTCATATGTGCCCTTGAAACGGCCGATTGGATTAGAACGAGAGAGGGCACCGAAGGCAACGCGAAAGCAAATACGCAAGAAAGAATGCAGCAAGCCTATAACGATGTTATACTACAGGCTCCATCCAGCGTAGTAAGTGCTCTAAACTGACCGACCTCGTGCACGTCTCGATGGACGTGGTCAAGCGAGACCCCTAGCAAGCCTCGATGTACCAGCGGGACCAAAACCAGGGCTACAAGCTCACACACCTTGACCGGGAAGTACTCCAGGGTAACATGATAAGAAATACCACACACTTTGACAGTCCTCCTGCCGGACGATCTGCGCTTACACCCACATGTTACTCTTGCAGGCGCAAAATAGGGCGATATACACTGGCCTCCAGCTCACGGGACGTTGGCTTAGATATCAACCAGATGAGTCAGGCGGGGAAGACACACAGATCATTCCAAAGCATAATAATGCCTGCTTAGTCGCACGAGCCTGGTGATATTAGGTGCGCTTGTGCTCTTTGCCAGCCAGACCAAAGACAAGCTTGAGAGCCTGCTGGGTGTTTAAACATGGGCTTTAATCCGGACTTTCAAGCCCATGCAACTCGTCGGGCAGTGAGTCGCTGCCCGATCGTGTCCATAGATAGCCACATAGCGTGAGACTGGAGAACATGCGACGCCTGGTTGGATTGGGGGGTGGGTCGACGTTTTGAGAGACATGCGCGGGCGCCTATGTACAGCTTGGCTCCAAGGAGATACCATGAGCTGACGCAGGCTTCCGGCGAGAGCCCTGGTGCGAACAAAAAACATTAGAGCATGAGACCAACATGCGATTTTGGATGGTGTAGTCGAGACTAGCAACAAAGGGGGTATTCCCCATAAACACAAACATATAACACACAAAAACACACGTATATAAATGGTTGGAAAGTCTAAAAGGTGGAAGATGGTGGGTTTGAGACAGCATGTGCCATCGAGATACATGGAATCACAGCCTCCAACCTATAGATTGGGTTGCCACTGAGCGACCTGCTGCATGAGGAGAAGAGGGGCAGCAAAAAAAAAATCTTGCCATCAGCGTGCAGGCAGTCGTTGAGGGGCAAACCCAGGAGGGGCAGCGGGGTGGAGGGGCAAACAAAAAGAATTCCAGAGGGGAGATTCACCCGGGCAGGTTGACGGAATGTGGGGCGGCTGTGGATTTCGCCCACCGCGTAAATAAAAGGTAGATTTCCCCTCCCAAACTTCCAACTCTTCTCTCCTTCGTTTCCTCGTCGGCACACCTTGAATCAAGCATTCTGATCTGCCAATTTTTCCTTGTACGTATTCCACCTCGGACCACGATACCCTCTGCGCTTTCTCTTCATCACTCTAACCTTCGTCACGAGCACCGTTGCAGCTTCATCCTCGCGCAAGCAACACCAGACCCTTCTCGTCAGCTAGCTGAACAACCGCCACCATGGGTAACAAGGAGAAGGCTCACCTCAACGTAAGTTCTTTCCTCTGATTTCCAGCCGTGCCAGATTCAGCGAGCTAGTCTTTCTGGCCTCCTCCATATCCTAATGCTAACCTGGGCGTTGCGTCGTTGATAGGTCGTCGTCATCGGGTTCGTCTCACCTAGCCGCCTCGGCCACAGCGTCACCTCCATACCCTGACCCCATTCATTTCGATACGCCGTACATCACGACGAGCGAGAAGATTGCAGGACTGACATATCCATCACAGACACGTCGACTCCGGCAAGTCGACGACGGTAAGCCACTGCCCTCCAATCTCTGCTTCAGGGGCACTCGCTACGAAGCGATACCACCGAACCTGCACTCAGATCACTAACGAGAAGCGCATCACAGACCGGCCACCTCATCTACAAGCTGAAGGGTATCGATGCCCGTACGATCGAGAAGTATGAGAAGGTAAGTTTACTCGCCAGATACTTTCTGTCGGTCTTTCCTCCAGCCATCCAGGCCGTCAGAAAAACCTTGCACCATACACACACACACACATCCTCGCCCACGGACGACTTTTTTCTCGCTTGAATCTCACCTTTCGGTTGAGAGCGGGGGCGGGGTCTAGCACCTTTTTTTTGTTTTGCCCCACAACCCTGCAAGCTCTTCCTCTTAGAATTTTCGCGTCATCTGCAAAAATTATGTGCATACTGCACAGACCATCACACGCCCCACTTTCCATTTTTGGGACCTCGCATGCCAGATACTGACCATGACAACAGGAAGCCGCTGAGATGGGCAAGGGCTCCTTCAAGTACGCCTGGGTTCTGGACAAGCTCAAGGCTGAGCGTGAGCGTGGTATCACCATCGACATTGCCCTCTGGAAGTTCGAGACTGCCAAGTACAATGTCACCGTCATCGGTATGTGTGCCTGGGACAGCCAGATCCCTGTCTGACTTCTACTATCGGGCTTCCACCGGCCCGACCCCACAAACGCGCCGCATCGTGCACATGCTAACGATGTCCTCTGACGTGCAGATGCCCCCGGTCACCGTGACTTCATCAAGAACATGATTACTGGTACCTCGCAGGCCGACTGCGCCATTCTCGTCATTGGCGCCGGTACCGGTGAGTTCGAGGCTGGTATCTCCAAGGATGGCCAGACCCGTGAGCACGCTCTGCTTGCCTTCACCCTCGGTGTTAGGCAGCTCATCGTTGCCGTCAACAAGATGGACACCGCCAAGTGGGCCCAGAGCCGCTACGACGAGATCGTCAAGGAGACCAAGAACTTCATCAAGAAGATTGGCTTCAACCCCGACACCATCCCCTTCGTCCCCATCTCGGGCTTCAACGGCGACCACATGATCTCGGAGTCCCCCGACATCAAGGCCAACATCTCCCCCAACGCTCCCTGGTACAAGGGCTGGACCAAGACCGTCACCAAGGACGGCAAGAAGGAGGTTGTCGTCGGTGGTGCTTCGCTCCAGGACGCCATTGACGATGTCACTCCCCCCAAGCGCCCCACCGACAAGCCCCTGCGTCTCCCCCTCCAGGATGTTTACAAGATCGGTGGTATCGGCACAGTGCCCGTCGGCCGTATCGAGACTGGTATCCTCAAGGCCGGCATGGTCGTCACCTTCGCGCCCTCCAACGTCACCACTGAAGTCAAGTCCGTCGAGATGCACCACCAGCAGCTGGTTGAGGGTGTTCCCGGCGACAACGTTGGTTTCAACGTGAAGAACGTCTCAGTCAAGGACATCCGCCGTGGCAACGTCGCCGGTGACACCAAGAACGACCCCCCCATGGGCTGCGCCTCGTTCAACGCCCAGGTCATCATCCTGAACCACCCCGGTCAGGTCGGTGCTGGCTACGCTCCGGTCCTGGACTGCCACACCGCCCACATTGCCTGCAAGTTCTCCGAGATGGTTGAGAAGCTCGACCGCCGTACCGGCAAGTCCATCGAGGCCAACCCCAAGTTCATCAAGTCGGGTGATGCTGCCATCGTCAAGATGGTTCCGTCCAAGCCCATGTGTGTTGAGACCTTCTCCGAGTACCCTCCCCTGGGTCGCTTCGCCGTCCGTGACATGCGTCAGACCGTCGCTGTCGGTGTCATCAAGAGCGTCGAGAAGGCCGCTGCCGGTTCCGGCAAGGTATGTCCACTCACCATTCCATATCCGCTGTTTGATACATGTGCCCTGTGCTCGTTACTGATCATCTTGAACTACAGGTCACCAAGTCTGCTACCAAGGCTGCCAAGAAATAAGCTGCTCAACCACCAGGAGCAAAAAGTCCCGAGACGCGGGAGGCAAGCCATACCCATCGGCGTCGCTATTACATGATCGCGCCAATCATGAGAGGGGTCTCGGTATTCGCCTCAGCGCATGGAAAAGAGTTCTCGCTTGTTTTGGGGCACATTTGAGAGGAACGGGTCTGGGATTTCTGGGATTCAACACTTCTTCTCCCATAGTGTGCTTTGGTACAAAATAGAGGCTCGTAGAAAGTGATTTCAAAGTTCAAAAAAAAAGAAAGAAAAGCAAATCTCGATCCGCCCCAATCTTGCGTATGTGACGAAGCAATATGCTGATTATGTGTTTGTCCTGGTGCCTGCTCTCTTCGACGGGGGCTGAGACGGGAGGACCCGAGTGCCATCCATACTGCGGCTTGGGTGTGTGATCAAGAAGCAGATTTGGGAGCAACCCATTCATATTGCTGTGGGAGCAAAGGAATAGCTTAGAATAGGAGGGCCAGCATGCATACAGGTCATAATATTTGATAGCTAGCACCGTACATACGTGATCAGGATCTTCAACAGCATTTTGTGCGAAGGCGGCGTTGCTTGGGAGAAGGCAGGTATGTATACAATTATCTTACAATTATCTAGCTAGATGAAGTATGGGTCATTTCGCCAGAATTCCCCAAAATAGTACACTTTACAGAACAGAGACTACATAGATACCTCTAGTTAGGCAAGCACAGCGGGTGCAATATGCATCTAAGCGCAAGATATACACGGTGGATACGATGCTCACAAGAACCATTGGAACATGTTACCCTGGGCCACCTTCAGCACGTCGGCCACGAACCTCTCCGCCACATATTCAGAGCCCTCCTTGAACGGATTCGGCTCCCGCCACGGCGATGCCTGCATGGAGACCTCGACTCTCTGTGGGGTAAAGCCATCGGATACTATGGTTGTGTACGCAAGGCTTCGGTCGCGGAAAGAGGTGACGGCCTGGTGCCGCACCTCGAGGCCGGCGAAGAGGTAGTCTAGCGTCAGCAGGCCCGACTCGTCGCCGGCTCCAAGGGCGGCGCCGTGGCCGAGGCGGACTGGGACGGTCATGCCCTTGACGAGGGACGGGGTCTTGAAGACACCCTCGGCGGGAGATATTTCCGACTGGCCCAGGAAGTCAACCAGCGGCAGAACCACGGGGTGCGCATCTAGTGGATCTCCCAGGCGTCGTAGTTCCGAGACCTGCTTCTGAGTGATGCGTGCGTCCACCGGGTGATCTGGTAGGAGAAGGTCGAAATCGTACGTGTTATGAAGAGCACGGAGTGATTTTATATCGGCGACCAAACTGTTGATCATGCGAACGCGGAGCTCTAGGGTCGGCGCGTGCACAGCGGCGCTGCCGTTGGGTGAGGGGACCAGCCGAATAACTAGCTGGCTGCTGGTGGGCCCGCAGAACGCGGCCTTGGAGAAAGCCCGACCAAACAATGGGGGAGTGGTCGTAGACAGAATCCGAGGTGAAGATGTGTCAGAAGGCAGGATTGTGCTTGGCTGTGAGATGACATCGTTCTCTTCGGTCCAATGAAGGATATGGCCAAATATGGCATGCGTAGAGGTTTTTGCCAACGCCCAATGACCAATAGTGGGAAGACCAGTCGGGTCTGACACGGAAGTCGCTGACGGCTGTGGGGGTGGTGTCCGAGTATCATCGCCTTGAGGGCGAATCAACCACGAGACAAGGTTCGGTGGTAGATTCACATCGGCCGATTTTGTGGTGGCTGACGAGACAGGTCGAACGAACCGGGCCCATGATCCGGATGGGGCGTTCCAGGGGAGTGACAGGTTCTGAAGACCACGCTCGGAAACGAGTCTTGCCATCTCAGGACCTTCCAGTAGGGGCCCGACGACGGCCATCGGCAGGGACAGCGAAGGGGCGTCACTTCCATAGGCGCTCATCAGGTGTCGGAAGACAACATCTCGGGTTTTTTCAAAGGTCTGGTCTCGTTCTGGACGATTCCTCTCGATCCAAGAGACGTCAAACTTCCCGGACGCAACGCGTTGGCGGATGTGTGAGTTGGTCAGCTGGCCAAGGCGCTCGAGAGATTCGTGAGGGATCTTTCCTGGTGCTATGGGGCGCAGGTCTATGGTTTGAGTGGTGGTCGTGCGGAGGACTTGATTTATGGCAGCGAGGATGGTATCAGCGATAGCCTTGGGGCTATATATTCGCAGCATTCGACTGGACCGTCTCAGCTCTATTCGGCCGCCGACCTTACGCAGGTATATGCGCGAAATGACCTGAAGCCAGCTCATATTGCCGACCAACAGCAGCGAGAATTCGGGATCGCGGAGGAAGATGTCCATATACCCGGGGCCATCCACATGCTCCTGGATTGAAATGCCCCAGCACACACGCATCAGCTCGCTAACAAGCAACTTCTTGCCGGTGTCGGGTTTCTGTTGCGTCGACGGGGGTTGAGGTTCCCATGCAAGCCGCTGCAGGATCCATGGGGCATCCGGATCGGCCGCGGGGGTGGCAACAGAGGCGCGGTGCTTCCGGTTGGCGCCGATGTCCTTGCGGTTGGCGCCAATGTATCTGACAAGCTGCGCCACGGTGAAACCTCCCCTGAGGGCATCGACAATGACATCAAAGTCTCTCTGGATAAGAATGCGGACATCCGCGGGCCGCAGCTCGTCGATGTTGGCCTGGACCTCAGCCTCGGTAGTGGGAGCCTCCAGGTCAAGGGCGGAACCCCAGATGTCCTGGTCGTCTTCGAGGCCAGTCTCAGCCTCGGCAACTTCCAGTATTAGAGGTGGAAATTCTCGCTTCGTGCGCTTGCCCAGATCCATCATAACAATCGTCTCGCCTCGCTTCCCCAACACGTCGAAATCCAGCCCCTCAATCCTTGGCTGGACGAGGGTGCCTCTGGTGGTGTAGACCCTTCCGTCGGATCGGCGCGCCCCTGGGGCTTGTTGAGGGCTGCCGTTTACCGAGGGTTTATCTCCATTGGCGTCTCGCTTATGGGCGCCGTCGCGAGGAGGTCCATCGGCGGCAGTGCTGTTGCCTCTGACTTGTGCATACCATGCCGCCGCGGAGGACCATTGAAATTTAGCCCGGGGAGGCCAAAATTGGCATCTGAGGCAGACGAAGCCGCCAGCGGTGGTCCCTCTTCGGATCATCAAGACCAAGCTGGACGCGGGGTTCCGAATCGAGAAGGAGGGGTGTCGTGACCGGCCCTAGCAAGCCATATATAATGCCGCTCAAAGGCCCAGTACTCCACGGTTCGCCTTATTCTGGAGTATTGGAGCATCCGCATAGGTACGCCTGGAAAATCTAGGACGCAAAGCCAGGGGATTCGGGCCGCAACCGTATTGGATGGGTGTCTATAGGTCATGTCGATGGCGAGTCTTCAAGCCTTTTTTTTTTTTTTGCCCGCATTGTACCCATGTCCAGCCCCATGTCATCTCTTCCTTGCCTGCCGGGCGGGACCACGCATTTACACCTGGCGCTAAACCTTTCTAGGCTGCATGGACCTGGCAGCCAGACTTGCATCACTCCAAGCGGGCCCACCTACCAAGAACCACTGAATTTCCCCGCGTCGCGTCTCCTGCTCTAGCACCCCGTGACTACACACATCAATCCTGGCCATTCGCAATCGTTCATCATCGAGTTTTGGGTATTGAACGGCTGTCATCTTATCCTGCCTGGTTCCCTGCAAGGTAGCGCTGCGGATTCGTCGGAGAACATGCCTATTCTTCAAAGGCGTCCTCGGCATGTAAGTCTTGAAGCTCCCTCCTACCAAGTTGGCAATCCTGATTTGTGGATTCCTCCTTGCTCACAATACCCAAGATCGAAGAGGATGACGACGATACGCGCGCGCACGAACGGCCAAGACAGCGGCAACGACGCGACGAAGCCGACCACAGCGATGATGACGAGAGCATGAATGGCGATGGCGACGAACGTGGCGAGCGTGACGAGTCGACAGAAACACAGCTTGTCAAGAAGCTCGTGAGGTACGCACTTGCTTGCGAGTATTCAAGGACCACAATACGTAGGGAGGGTATTCGGGAGAAAGGTAAGGAGGTCTCGAGCTGTGCATCAGTCCACCAATGCTAGCAGTCACTGATACAACGCCGTCTCTCCCGACTAGTTCTTGGCCCCCATGGCCGGTCATTTAAGAAAGTGTTTGAGGGAGCCCAGAAGCAGCTGCAGGTAGTGTTCGGCATGGAGATGGTTGAACTCCCCGTCCGCGACAAATCCACTCTCTCAGTGGAGGAACAGAGGCGAGGTGTGTTCTTATCCCTATCCCTGGCCCACCGGTGACCCTGCTTGCTAACCGAACCCAACAGTGGCCAAGTCACAGACAAAAGGAGCGGCAAGCTCCAATTCATATATTCTTGTCACTACAATACCCGAGCCTTACAGGTCGGCGGCTATCATACCCCCGTCGAAGATCCAGAGCTCCGATGCGGAGGCGATCCATGTCGGACTGTATTCGCTCATCATCACCATCATAACACTTAACGGTGGCGAGTTGAGCGACCACAAACTCAAAAGATATCTGCAGCGCATGAACGCAAACGTCAATACTCCCCTCGAAAAGACCGAAGCTATGTTGCAGAGGCTCATCAGGCAGGCTTACGTCGTCAAGACGGTGGAGAGGAATCCCCAGAGTGACGATGATGCCGTCACCTGGCACGTTGGCCCACGTGGCAAGCAAGAAGTTACACACGAGGCTATTGCCAACATAGCAAGGGAGGTTTACGGAGCTGCTGCGAACGACGAGCTTGAGAAGAAGCTTCATGCGAGCCTGCGAATCGCCGAGAGGAAACCACCACGTCGCGAAGGTTCTGCGGAGGCGGAGAGGCACCAGGGACATGACGGGGATGCAGACGGCGCAGAAGATGAAGACGATGGAGATGAGCGTTGATATATGCAGTAGTAGCATACGGTGTGCTGGGATGGATTATATTAGAAGATATCCATTTCCCTCACCGTCTCCCCTGTATTTTTCTACCGGCGGCCATTTCCCCAGTCGTATCCGCATCTCCCGCAAGACGCGACCTACCGGCGCGAGTTGCGCATGCTCCAGCTAGATGGTCCCAACCCATGTCTTGCAACTCGCGAGCCATGCTCAGGACGGCAAGGATATGGGCTACGGTTATTGTATCATGGGTCTGAAAAAGCATTTCTCGGACTATGTGCACTCGAGCTAGCTGAGACTTCAAGTGGTGTTTGCCTGCTATACAGAGATCTGCACTTGGTGGTTCAGTCGCCGATCTGTGTCACTGCTGAACCACCGAGTCCTCGCCCTCACGAGCTGGGGGCGGGCCGCACGGTTGAATCATTTTCTAGACCAACAATGTTAGCACTTTACGGCTCTGCCTATTCTAACCCGACTCTGCTGGCGACCTGGCTACCCAGGCACGTCAACTCACCCGTATCATCTCTGCGCGAACCTTGGCGACAGGCTCATTTTGAGCGAGCGCCATGTAGGCAGCAAGAGGCGGATGACCAGCGATGCTTGAGTATGTGTCGCGGTGGATGTTTGTTTTCCACTCCCAGCTGGTAGTGTCTGGATGCCCTGTGCCAATGTATTTGGCCTGGAGACGTTCCAGCTCCTGCTGTGACCGCAGCTTGTCCGCCTGTTGACATCGTCAGCTGCCGGACTAGGTAGGAAAGTGTACCATGACAGTGTTGCCATACATACCATATTTCAATTTCGAGGGGGTTAATGAACCTATGGTTTCGTAGCCTTTGAATTTGACGAATGTACGAGGTTTACATTGCGGAGAGCGGCTCTTTCCATGGTGCGAAATGCGTGGAGCGGCCTGTGTCTGGGAGAGCTGAAGTCGCGTTGGCTGGCAGCCTCAACTGGCTTGGTCCCACTTTTGAAGTGCATGCTTGGGTACCTTGGCCTGTGCACTGGGGTACTCAATCAGTGTAACCAGCACGCGCCCAGGAAGCGCACCTTCAGCGCGCCGCCGCCTCCTCCTCCTCGTTCCAAAGCGGTATGCGACACCCGATTTATTTGAATCCTACTACTCTAACCAGGCCGATCAAAAAGCGTCTTATAGCGCCTGAATTGCTGCATCCGATTCGAGCAGCTGCCCGCCCGATCTCCCACCCTACCACAGCTGTCCGTCGGGGGGGCGCGCCTCAAATCGCCGGATCACCCATCGCTTTTGCCACAAATGCCCGAAATTTGGGACTACCTGGCGAGAGCCAGGCGGCAGAAGGCCTTATGCGCCGGCGATGTGGAGGCCATAAAAGAAAACTGCCGCCGGAATCACAACCACAGACATGTCATTGAGTGTGTTGAGTGTTACGGGAAGGTTCTCGAGCGGATGCATAGCCGGTACGCTTCCTCGCCGGATGCCGAATGCTTTTCTGGGCAAGCAACCTTCCCCAAGGATGTTTCCGACCTGTTTGCGCAGGCACGGGAGCGCAGGTTCGCACTGCGCGAGATCGAGGAGCGCGCCATCAAAGGCCGGCAGGCGCGCATCGTTCAAACAGTCAAGAGCTCGCAGGTCATAAGGCACCTCCTCAGGGACTCTGGTCAAGTGCATTTGCTGCACAAAATGGACAGCGGCAACGTTGTACTAAGCACCGTGCTGGGCGAGATCCGGAACTCTCTCGGCCACGTTCCCGCTCCCTCCGAAGATGTCGACCGCTGTCTCGTCCAGCTAACGGGCGCCGAGGCTCTTCCGGCCGTCGAGACCCTCCAAGTCATACAAAAGATCTTCTTTTCTGACTACAAAGATAGCTCTGCGATGGGCTGTCAGGAGGAGCTGGAAAGGCTCCGCAAAGGCAGCTCTCTCGACGTTGTTATGGAGCGCAGGCTCGAGCGGTCCCTCACCAACAAGGCAAACAAGGATCTGAGGGAGAAACACCGGCGGAGGTTGGACGAGCTCAGGCGGGCACAGAGCGCCCACGAGGCCGCGAAAAGTAGAAAGACCAAGGACCGGCAAGCAGCCGCGCCGCCTCCGCCCCCAGCTCCTTCGCTCGCGGTTCCTGCTTGTGCTGCTTGTCACACCACTGTTGACATCAAGTCTTTTTTCTCCTGTCCGCTTTGCCAAATCCGAGCTGGCCTGGATAACCGCTGGCAGCCTATGGTGTATTGCTCCACTGCATGTTACCACGACGCATTTGTAAGGTCTCTTTCTGTCAATCTCACATTCTCCTCTCAACTGGATCGCCGTCCCAATGCTAATCATAACTACAATGCCCAGGACTCACACCTTGATGATGCACATGTGTGTGCCTCTGGTGATGACTGCACGCAGCTGAGAGTCGAGGACGGGGCAATGGACTGCAGCGGCTTGCCTATGCTCTGCACCCACTGTCTGGAGCAACTAAAAACGCTGACCTCATACTGCTCGAAGCAGTGTGCCGAAATGGACTTGCAACGTCACAGGCAGAGTGTCCACCACCGGCATGGAGAGAAGGCCAACGGCGGACTGGATCACAGCAACGGGCCGATAGGCAGTGAGCACCATGTAACTGATATACATGTTGCATTGGCGGCCTTGGAGAAGGAGTCGTCTGTAACAATAAAACGACTCGATTAGACGGCTAGCGAGCATTGTCTAGCGACGCAGTCGCTGCCACACAAGTGGGAGACAGTAATGAATGGGTTATTTGTCCCCCTTTTGGCAGCAGTTGGGGGATAGACGTCCCCTTTCTCAAAGGCTGAAAACATGGGCTAAATGCAGATACAGGGAACGTCAGGTTTTGGACAGCCCTGGCGAGTGATGCCTAGTCCTGCCCAATAAACCCACATCGGGCGCGGGCTCTGAGTGGAGCGCAAGGAACAGAATAGTGGGCGGTCGGGGCTGGCAGAAATGGACGAGTGACGTCCAGAGCGCATTTGGATGGTAAATCTCGCCCATGGACTCTTCCTCACACCCAGTCCGCCCGGATTCGTCGGGTTTGTTCAATAACCAACCACAAACATGTCGGCAGTCTCAGCGCTGAAGGGCGAGTCGGCCCAGCAGGTCAGGTCCCTGGTAGGTCGACAACTCCCGGCTGCACCCACTGCCCCCAGTCCATTCAAGAAATTCGGCCGAGTTTAACCACATGGCCTGCGCGCGCTGAGCAGTTCCGGCAGCTGCTGAGGCAGAGTGGCCAATTCGCGGCATATAACTTCAGAGAGTATGCCAAGAGGCGGACACGGGATGCGTTTCGTGAAAATCAAGGGGTCAGCGACCCTCGACGGGTTCAGGAACTGGTTCAGGAGGGACTGCGGGAGCTCCAGGTGATGAAGGTAAGCTGGTTTCTTGATCCGCTGTCGGCACCCTCATGAGTGTGTCAGTATGGTAACAACTTCCAGCGACAAACTGTTCTCGGGCAGTTCTACCAACTCGACAGGCTGGTAGTAGAGGCCGGTATCTCTGTAAGTTCCCAACTCACACAGCGTTACTTCTCACACATGCTGATAGCGGCGTGTCACCCTGGCAGGGAAAAGAGTCTGGGAACAAAGCCGAGATCGTTCGCGGGAAGCCAACCGGGTAAGCATACTTCTGTTTACTAATATGCAGTTTGCCGATTATTATTGACTCCGTGGTTGCCGTCCAACAGCTGGGACTGAACTCGGGACAACACGCAGGTTTAATGCCCCTTGAATGTTGCCTGGTGGAAACGATATGACAAAAGAGGGCTATAAACACGAACTTTGCCTCTCTTGACTTTATGGCTACGGGGTGTCGTCAGTGACATTTCTCGTTGGGGATCCCACTAGGGCTTCTATGGTCTACTCCTCAGGCAGCTGTCAGATCCCTGACACATTTGAGGCATGACTGCTTCTTTGCCCCTTGTTTACCTCGCCACTCTATTTCCACGTTCGTTTCGCCTCATTCATCTAACAATTAATGGCAGACTAGGCATATTAATACTTGAGCTAGATATAATTTAGCCTTCTGATGACGGAGCAATCAAGGGGTCGGGTCGGCCGCACGCTGACGGCATGGAGTTGTTTGCCTGGGGTTTCTACTTAGACATAAGGGTATCCGGACTTGCCCTGGAATGCTGCATCTTGTAGTTGCCAATGTTTTGGACCAAAATACACGGGCAGCCATGCAACTCGCATCAAATTTCATTGTATTCCTCTCTTCTTCACAATCGACAAATTTAGCAGCTGTTCCTCGCCCATCTGGGACGGGCACGGGCAGTCCCCACCCAAGCCTACCAATCATAGCCCGCTAGTTTATTATTAGTAGTGGGTCCGGGCCTCGAGGCACGTCGCCAACCGCGCCGCCCGCATTTCGTCTCTTGCCGCCACGCTTGCGATTGAATTGGCTTCCGAGGCGTCGAGGAATTGACAACCGAAATACCGCCTTGTAAACACAACACCCCTGAATGCATACATACTTTAAGCCTCCTGCCGATTCAACACAGTCGCGCGCCTCCCGCAACTTCCGGCGATAAATAGGCATCCTTTTGTCGCGATGGCTCCGGGCGTAAGAAAATGAAACTCCCTGCGCCTGCACTGTGCCGTCGCGCGTCTCCGGAAATCTCTTGCGCGGACAGCTCCAGGTACTAACAAAACCAATATCCTGCGCCATATAGTATCGCACCAACGCCCAAACCCGCCGTGGCAACCGCGGAGCCTACCCCGAGCACGATGATTTCGAAGGTGCGACGAACCCCGGCGCTTATCCGTCCGCAAAACCTGGTCCCGGCGGCCGAGGTCGCTCAAGCTGACGGACTCGCCCTTCTCACACCTAGGTCTGCCCGTGCGCCAGTGGAGGCAAGAGTGGGTGAATGTCACACCCCCGCAGCAGGTCGAGGCGCAAACGCGCAATGATATCTGGGCCGTTGAACTGCCTTATGGCATGCCGAAGGACACACAGCTGCTCCCGCCCCATAGCCAGGAGCTGTTGCGCGCCGCCCGCTCCGGCCGCCTGTACAAGCGCCCGGCCCCCGCCGACGACGACGACGCCGACCCGGACCCCGCCTTGGAGAAGGGGGAGAAGAAGGAGGACGTTGCCGACAAGGGCTACACGGTCAAGGTGTGGAAACAGGTGCCCAGGACCTCCGAGGGGGCCAGCGTCTCGCATCTCGCCAAGCGGCGCAAGGACACCATCACGCTCAAGCCCAAGGCCGAGGTGTTGCAGTTTACCGGACCTATGATCACCCGCGCTACCATCCGGCGCGTCGATGCCGCTGGGAATCCGTACGAACAGACAATTACTTTGAGCGAGGGACAGCCCGTCGACGGCGAAATCGTCTCTACCAGCGTCATCCCCGCCCCGGTCGCGCCCGTAGACGTTCAGCCACAGCAGGTGACCCCGGCGCGGAGGAAGCCTCCCCCACCGCGTAGGAAGCCCAAGGGCCCCGGCCGTGGACGCAAAAAGGGCAGGCTCCCGCTTCCCTCCAGCACAAGGCCCCCTGTTGATGGGGCAAGCACCGACACTGCTCCCGCTGCTCCCCAAGACGGCCAGCCGGGAAACGAGGTAGGATGGCGCAGCATCTTCGGCGACATTTTAAAATATTACCGCTTGTTTGATTCTCTCCCTGTCCTTGCTGACGCGGAATGTTACAGCCCATAGTTGCAGGCATGCGGCCTGAAGACTCGCACCGGCGCGACAGCGAACCAATGGACCAGTCGATTCCACCATCCGACGACGAGGATGGCGATGAGGGTGATGATGGAGAAGAGGGCGACGAAGGCACTGGGGACGTGGATATGGACCTTGGAAGTGACACTGCGGACCGTAGCCAGGACACGCCTATGCAGGCCCTGGACGAACAGGTGACGGCAGGCGATGATGCCACGCCATCTATACCATCGCAGGGAGGCAGCGACACACCCCCTATCACTTCGATTGATGAGCCAGAGTCTCACAAACGGTTATCTCCGAGCCCCCTAAACATGGAGCTCGCGCATGCTCCGCCGCATATGGAAGGGAGCCCTCTGAAAAACGTGGCCCTGGCATCACCGGCCGGCCCGTCGCCTGCGCAGTCACCTGCCGCCATTGGCGTAACAGCTGCTGCCCCTGGGAGCTCAGCAGAACCGCAGCAGGCGTCAGAGGGCTCAGATGAAATGCAATTGTCGGAGCCAGAGCCGGCCGCGCCGATCGCTGCCGCTACCCCCCTTAACCACGAGATGGTCCCTGCAGTCTCCATTACGGTGCCGTCAGCTGAGGCGAGCCAGGCGGCCGAGCCTTCAGCTATGGAGGTATACCTGCCCATGGACGCAGCCCCGAATCCCACCGCTGTACCGGCCCCGAGTCCTCCAAACGAAGTTCAGGTCTCGGAATTGGAGATCACAAGCAGACCAGTCTCAACGGGGGAAGACAAATCATCCACGCCCCCTTCAATTCAGCCTACACAACACGAACCTGCTCCAACGGCGTCAACAGACGAGAGACCCGCATCCCAAGATCGACTACCGGAACCGGATGCCCCCGTAGTGCCTGTGGAGGGTAACCCTGCGCAACCAGAGATACAGGACCAGCCAAGCGGGCTAGGCGAGGCGGTTGCACAGGGGTCCGTGGATGCTGTACAGGCGCTTGACGAGCCAGCAGGTGAAGCCGCTGCTATAGAGCCCAGTCAGGAAATAGCCGAGCCAGCGCCCGCGCCCGCAGCCGCCGAATCAAATGGACCTGATGAAGAGGTGGAGACGAAGATGGAAGATGCCACCCCTGCAGCCCCTACGGCCCCGGTCGCCCCGGAGGCGACCGTGGAGCCCCCGCGATCGCCGCCGCTCGAGCCTACCAAGGTCGTCGAAGACGAGGATGAAGGGCCGGACTTCCTCTCCGGGCTCGAGGCTGAGCTGGACCGGCAGGAGGAGCTGAACCGTGCCGCCGTCAGCGCCAAGGTGGAGACGCCCGTCTCGCCCCCGACGGCGGACGCGAAGCCGGCCACAGACGTCTCCGAAGGGGATCCGCCGGCTGCTGATGAGGCCAAAGCGGCAGAGAATGCGAGTACCGGCATCGGGGAAGCCGGAACAGCGCCGGACGCGCCATAATTTCCCGATGCGGGAATTGCCGGAAGGCTTCGCCGGCGGTGATGCCTCAGATGGGGCATTTATATATTCTTAGATGTCGTTTTGCCGTTCGAAGGGAGTCTTGCTCGCCCCCTTCTCCTTGTTCTTGCTACATCTTTTTTTCCCCTCCTATTACAGATATCTCTCCAAATTCGGCAGACAGAGCCTTGTTCGCTGTCGACCTTCTTGGATTTTCTTCCCGCGGAGGCGAGGCAGCTAGTTGCGGCGACCCACGGGCAGAGAGTGAAAAGCAGCCCCTGGCGCATTTCCAAGTCTCGAAGTTTAGGGTGATATAGATACGTACATCGAAGCATGTTTCTCGAAGGGGTGGACTATACACACCCAGACTAAACCTAATTAAGCGGCCTACATTCCCGATATTTGTAGAGTCAACTTTTCAAGTACCGGGCAGCCACGCCCACTAAAAAAGCAGCAGTCTTACCGGAGGTCCTAAAGATTAAGTGCATAGAAGTGTTGGTGCCGTATACTTTCTTCTTATTTTTCCCCCTATTACCATTCCTAATGCTATTCGTATTTTTATTCGTATTTTCTTCTTTTTCTTTTTGGTTCCGTACCTAGTCCTGTTCCTGTCCCTCGAAGGAACTGCCATTTTTGTGTGGTGGGCGTGCCAGCCTCCATTTTTTGCCAACTGAGCCCAAGGCAATTGCATTTGCAGCAGGCGCCTACACACTTACGCCCACCACCTAATAATGCCTACACCACAGGTTTACCCTGGTCTTGACAAGTCACGCGGAAAGAGACATTAATGTATAGATTCGTTCGCCTGCCTGTGACGTAAACATGAGGGACTTGTTCAGGGTTGGCTGCCAGAATAAATCCCTCGGCGTCACGCTGCTGGCTCCGTATCTCCGACCAGGAAACGCATTTCCACGACCCAACTGCGCCCAAAATCGATGCCGCGTCGCATTTTGGTGCCTGCCTTCTTCCAAACGGCAGGGCCGAGACCAATATCGATTATAAAGAGCTTCCAGTCGGAGACGAAGTCATCGGGAGCTTGCGCTTGCGCCACAGTCCCATCACCCTCAGCCGCCGCGCCCGAGGACATGGACTCAAGCAAACCCTTCTTCGGAGCGCCCAGGGCGGCAACGTAGCGAGGCCGCACGTAGAGGCGATTCCCGTCGACAATGCTGATATTGCCCGTGGACGGGTCGATGCCTGTGGGTACGTCAAGGGCGAGGACGAAGGCCTCGTTCCGGTTGGCCCACTCGACCAGCTCAAAGACAGTCGCCTGCTCGCCAGTCCGCAGCTCGTCAAAGGGCGTCGCCAGGCCGAGCAGCGCGTCGACGATGAGCGTGACGGCAGGCGGGTTCGGCACGAGCGCGCCGCGCGGCGTGTCGACGGTGAGCGTAGGGATGCTGAGCTTGCGAACATGGTCAAGGAGCTCGTTCTTGCCGTATACTCGCCCGCCAAGGTTGCGAAGCAACCTCAGCTGCTGCTGCATGCCCTCAAGGAGATCGCGTTCGCCCCTCTCCATGCCAACCACGCAGACGAGCGTGTTGACTCCCTTGTTGCGAAGGTGGCGTGCTGCAGCCACGGCTCGGATCCCAGACTTGTTGTTGCCAGCGAGAACAACCACTGCCCCCGCCGCGATGTCGCCGCCGCTGACGCCCGACCTGAGCCGGACGGCGGGGTCCGCGAGAGCAGTAAGGGCCACCTCGGCAACGCCCCTCGCTGCGTTTTCCGTCATCATTTCCTCAGTGAGCCCGACGTCGTTGTGTGCAATGAGTTCCAGGTTGAGCATTTGAAGGGCCGAGACGGTCTCGATGCGGCGGAGACTTGGGACGAGAGCAAGGCTTGGCGCGGCTGGAACGCCACCCGTCGGCCGCTGGGTCCGGTCACCGCCGCTAGCTAGGCTATCGGGAGGCCCCTGGACTGCGGCCGGCCCGCGACGCTGCCGATTTCCCGAGGTTGGGGTACGAACGCCGCTCGAACCTGTGCGGGGCGGGGCAGTAATTGCTGCGGCAGCGGTACTGGCCTTGCGCGATCGCGACCTCCGCGTGGCCGGCATCTTGCTCTCCCCTCTCCGTGAGCTCTGGCGACTTCCTGCGTCTCGCGCGCTCGGCCGCTCCGTGTCCGCCTCGCTGTTCCAGAAGTCATGTGGGAGCTCCACCTTCAGGCTTGTGCTAGCGGCCGGCTCGTCTAGGACATTTTCGGAGTAGTGGAGGTTTTTACCACCAGATGTACCGGGCTTGGGCCTCGGTTGTCTGTTGTGAGACACTAGTCGATGCGCGTCATCCACCTGATCATCCTTGCGCATCTGGTCGAAAAGTGTGTGTTTGTCGAACTTTGCCAGGCCTCCTTCGAAATCGAACTCTCCCAGCTCCTGCACGTCGGTGACGTCCTCTGAAGCCCACCCATTTTCATGCTGCAGCGCGTTCGCTTTGCGGCCTCGACCTTTCCTAAGTGCGTTGAATGGCTGGAAAGAAGATGTGTCCTCTAGCATGGGCGTCTGCCGCCAGCCCTTGGAACCATGGGCCGCAGCCTGTCCGCTGATAGTGTCTTGGGGGGTTTCAATATATTCCTGCGTGGTGGCCATACGGCCGCCTTTGTTCGCACGTGGCCGCCTGCTCTTTTTCTTTCCCGGAGCATGGGCTGTGGGCTCCGCGTCGACCGGTGGCACGTCGCTGACCACAGCATCCGGGCCGTGCACCGATATCCGTGGCGTATCCAATGCCGACTTCACCGCACTCCCCACCATCGACTTCGCTGCAGCCGACGTCCCTGTTGTTGCTTGGACTGGCGTGCCCTGTCGTGCCGCCGTTTTGGTACCCTCATTGCCTCTGGCACTGGGACGGGCCGCTGTAACGGCTGGCGGCGGCTTCCCCACGGCGATTATGGCGGGGTCTCTAAAGGGCACTCCAGGGGGCGATGTTGAGGTTGGTGGTGCGATGGATGGCGCGGGTAGTTGGGTTTGGGAAGACGGCGTTGTTTTTGTTGGCGTTATTGCTGGTCGTGATGCTGTTGCCGGTGATGCTGGCACAGACGGACGGTCGGCATTTTGGTTGTCTATGGACGTGGAGGCAGCGGTGCTCCTGGTATCGGCCGCGGAAGTTTCCAACTGCGGCGTTGCTGTGGGAATCTCGACCAGGTTCACGACATTGGCGGCCTCGACCGTGAGGTAGGATTGGAGCCACGTGCTGCCGTCGGCAGACCATACTACGGGATGCCGTAGATGTTAGCGGCGAATCATCGGGTATCGGGTCAATGGAATATCATGGGGGCCCGCTCCACGGGGGAGTGTGGCAACACAAACCGTCTGAGAGCGTCAGGCTACAGCCCGACTTTACGTCTCTAACCACGCCCCGCAAAGTAGTTGGAGGCTCCCGGAGGGTCACAAGCATGTGAGCGCCGATAAAATCGGCCGCCATCTCGGCTTGTTAGTGTCGCCCGGAATGAGGTGCCTAGGCGGCGGAGGAGTGCCGCTGGGGAAAGATGTGCCGGGCGAAGCCCAATCATCTCGTATTAGCGCGAGGAAAGTTGACGGAAAACAACGTGGGGCTGATACAAACATGGGCCTTCCACTTGAGGACTGAATGTGGACCCCTTCAAGGGAGGGAGCTGCTGGCACGAGGGACGGGTTTGCGGGAAAGCGTGCAGTGTGAATACGATGCTGTCGCTTTAAAAAAGAAATTGGTGGAACAAACCTCGCAACGTACTTTTTTAAGGCTTTTTCCTTTTATTTTTTGTTCATTTTTTTACTTTTATTACCACATTTGCTTTTTAATGAATAACGGATTTATAAACTAGGAAATATATTAAAACAGCAATAACAATAAAGAGTGTTT